ATACATTCACACACACATACACACACTACTGTTTGCGTTTGTATGCTTAAGCAAGCATTGTAATATGATGTAATTTTGTTAGCCTAGTAACATAACTTTCTTTGATATGTTATCAGGAGGACTTGCTTGATTGGCTGTTTATTTGATCTGATCCATGTTGCTACATTCTCTTCAAATGAGTTGCAGTTAATGTTTCTTTATAAATGAATTTATACATACATACATACATACATACATAAATACATACATACATACATACATACATACTTACATACATACATACACACATACTTACATCATAGATACGTAACACCACACGCATATAGCTGATTTTTATTTCGTTCTATTCTTCAACACAACATATAAAAATCGCAAATAAACCAGTTTGATCACACACACACACCCACCCACCCACACACACCAACACACACACACACACACACACACACACACACACACACACACACACACACACACACACACACACACACACACACACACACATATATATATATATATATATATATATATATATATATATATATGTATATGATGTATATATATATGTGTATTATATATACATATATGTATATATATATATATATGTGTGTATATATATATATATAGGTTGGGGTGTAAAAAACACTAATCGCATACTATAAAACAAAAGACAAAATCGTCGTTATTGTTTTTTGTAGTTTTTGTAACTTTGGTTGTTGACTGTTCTTTTAGTTGTTGTTGTTGTTGTTTTCATTAATGTTGCTATTGTTGTTGATGTTGTCATCGATGTTGTTATTGTTGGTTTGGTTTCCATCAATGTTTCTATTAAGTTGTTGTTGTTGTTAAAATAAATGTTGCTATCTATTTTTTTGTTTTGTTTCAGCAATGTTGTTATTTTGTTGTCGTCGTCGTATACGTTGTCGTTGTTTTTGTTGTTGTTTTATTGTGGTTGTCGTTACTGCTGTCAACTTGAAATGTTTATAACCTCATTGTTATCTTGAATAAAGTTTGGATGTTGTTTGTTGTTGGAGATTGAGACTGTAATGTTCATTTGCATTTTGTAAGTTATGTGTGTGTTTGAGAGAGAGTGAGAGTGTGTGTGTGTGTGTGGTGTAGCCGTGTAACTTGTATTCATTTTGTTGTATGCTAGTTGTTGCATGTCTGTTATTGGATGCTCTCCTCGTGCTTCATATTTTTGCTACAGTAAATTACATAATTCGATATTTGTATGCGTGTATGTGTGTGTGTGTGTGTGTGTATGTGTGTATGTGTGATTTTTTATTTTTTAAATGTATTTCTATCGCATTTGTGGCGTACAGTTTATTTTGAAATATATATTTATAACATATTTAGAATTTCTTAAAATGCATAACAAATGTATGTTATTAAGATAATAATTTATCCAAATTTATTTTTTTTAAATTTCAAAAACACAATTTTTGAAATTTTATATGTCGGATAAGCTTATTTTCTTGAAAATCGTACGAAGCCACCTCTCTCATACACTTATTTAATGATTTCAGCATAATTTCACTGGCATGAGCGAAAACGCAGAGCATAAGTTTAGCAAGAATTGTCGTTCTACATAACATCATTTGCATACATTAATGTGTTTGTGGCCATGCCTAATTGTATTTATATGTCGCCGAACTGGTCTGAACCAATATGCTGGTTGAATCGTATTTTTTTACGTCTAACGGTGGTTATGAAGAATGTTAAGGAAAATGTTTTATTACATTACAAAGCCGTTTAATTAGGATTTGAATAATCTTACTTTACTCCCACAAAAAAGTTACCAAGAAAACAATTTATAAACAATGAATGCAGCAACTCCAATTTAATAGTATTTTAAAAAATTTTGAATAATAAAAGGTTTCAAACATTAAAAAATTTACAGAGAAATTTTGTTATTGGTTTTCCATCATTCAAACGTGTTCCACGCGCGTTCACTTAGATTAATTAATGATCATCGCAACTAACATGCCTGCATTTATATTCATGTACAACTTCAGCGTGTTAGTTGCAAACGAGCATTGAACCAACTGAACAATGCGCCTTTGTTTGATTGAGCATACAACATTAACAATACTTTTTCATATTGTTCAGTTCAAAATTAATCATGGATAAATATCTGTATGTAAATAATTTTTCTCTATGTCTCAGAGCCTACCGACTTTTCGCAAAACATTTAATTATAATTAATTTAATTATAATTAATTTAATTATAATTTAATTTTTTTGTTATTATTGAAGTTGAAAACTTGACACTAAAGATATGGATAGTAAAACAAAATATATGAAATGACACACACACACACATGCACGGACTTCTAATTTGATGTTCATCTAAATCTGAAACTCAATTATTTCTCTTCATATTTATGCTCAACACTGCGCACGTGCAAACAAACAAATAATCACCCTTAAGGGTAGAAGTTCGTGTATGAAGTTACTGACATATTGTAACATCATACCACACAAACTCATAACTTAATAACGCCAGAAAGTTTACCTGTTTCATAATAAATTTAAAATTGCCACTAGATGACCAAAAAAAAGATTTTGCGCATATATTTCAACAAAAACAAAAAATTTGAAACTGGTTGAATTTCAAGAGGATGCAAGTTTTCTAACGGAAAAACGTAAACGCTCATAAACTGGAAGTTTAGGGTTAGAAACACTTAGACTGCAATGTGAATCCTTTGCAAATAAAATTTTTGTATTAAAATGAATGAATGTTGTATGTATTTTGTTGAATGCTGTTTTATCCAATTAAATCAAAGCCTGTGTAAGCATGGGCGCAGATTTGTAAGGTAGTTATTTTTTTAAATGAAAATGAGAAATGTTTTAACAAAATTCGTAAAGAAGCATTACAAAAATTCTTATTAGTTGAAGTTTTACAATACAGGAAGATAACAAAATGAATGAACTGGAAGAGACAGACGCAAGACCGACCAGGTATTTAATGCGTCTTCGTGCGACTGTAAATCACATTTGCTGACGACATATTCAACATGACCTCCTCGCCTGCCTGCTTTGAAAAATTAAAAACACCAACTGGCCCTCGCTTCCAACTGAACTTTAAATTACGATAGGTATTCTGTGTTCTTCAAGTAATTAAAAGTTGGGCCGTGTGTACGCATGCCGACTAAGCCATCTACGTCACATTTCGTTAAACAGCCTAACGATATAATTACAATCTGCAACAGTTTTCGAACATTTGAAAAATTTTAACTAGCTAAATACGCTGTTTCCAAATGCATTGCCTTATTTGCCATCATGTCATTGTCATCGTCATCGTTTTAACGTTGTGCATTACTAACATTGGCATTGCTATGACATCGTTGCCGTCGTTGAAGTTGTTGCGTTGTGTTTGGTTGCGGATATGCATTGTTGTACGTAACACAATTTCAGCTCAATTAGAAAATTAAATTTTACGTTATTCACTTCACTAATGCGTTCACTGTTGTTTGCGCAGAGTCGTTTGTTACATTGCGTCAACGCATACATGCCTTAAACTAAGATTTCAAATGAAAATTCGCTTATTTGAAAGTTTGAACTTCTTAGAATACGTCAATACAATGAGGGCGTAATTTGTAACGTTGGTAATATTATAAACTTTATTTTGTACTTGTATACCTTGTTATTTGTTCCAATTGACGCAAAACTTAATAGCCTAGCACAATTTTGACTGCAACGCTCAAGTGCTTTTTTTAAATTTTTTTAAAACAATCAAACTTCTTCAATAATATTAAAGTTTTTGGTAAATTTCCATATTTATTTTTAATGCGAATCGCACTCAAATAATTTCAATGTCTGTTGCTAAACTATTAGACTTATTCGTAGAAGCATTTAGACGGTGAACAACGTTAAACAGGCAGGCCAAGTTGACTGGAGTGGCCTTAAAAGAATGATATTCATACAAATTTAATGCGTTTATGTGCTATGGCATATGTTTGCGATCAGCCCTACCCAATCAAACGCCGGCAGACACGCTCGACGAAAGTACATCATCACGCAATAACCATGATGAAGATGTGATGCTGCATTGCACGATTTATATGATGTACAGTACACACACCACACACACACACACACACACACACACACACACACACACAGAGGTACGATTGATATGATGAACTCACACGCAAGTAGAAGTCTCCGAATGATGTTCACGTAATTAACAAGTCGCCAAATTGAACTTTGACGCCGTTTGATCGATTAAAAAACTTCAGTTATCTTAAAATTAATGACATTTGTACATACCACGCTGTGCTTATTACAAAAGTCAGTTGTTTCACACACAGTAGACTTTTCTGTATTTATGTGTAGCCCACGTAAGCCAAGATTTAAAAATGTAGTAACGTTAATTTAATAATATAGAAAAAGAGATGAATAATATGTTGATGAATTATTCACCTTGGCTTGATGCATGTGATGATTTGTTTCAGTTGTACGTTTTTTTCGTTCGCATCAATCACTCAACCTACAATGAAATTAATAAGTGCTTTCTCGATGAATTGTTTTTAACATTTTTTCATCCGAAACAGATCATAAAATATTTTAAATGTATAAAAACAAAAATCTTTTTTTGATGTTTATGGAAGCTTTGTATTCTTAAATATACTTTTAAAAATTACTTCTTATGCTTCGTCTCTCAACAGCAGTAACAACATCAACTCGTTCATCATTCATCATTCAAGCACCCCGCTCAACTCTCCATATAAATGAATGGCTGTTTTCAAAGCAGCATACACACACATTCACACAAACACACACACACAATCAAACACACACACACACAAATACACTAATTTATATACTTAGAGAGAGATAAAGAAAAAAGAAGAAATAGAGAGAAAAAGAGGGAAAAAGGGAAAGAGAAAAAAATAAGGATAAAAAGCATGGAAGAAATATTAACAAATTCAACCAACTGCATATTTACACATTAAAGTCATAGTATTTGTGTTAACAAACACCAACCGACAGATGGCAGAATGTACTCTGGGACAGTGGCAGACATCAATGGCAGGGACGCACTCATATACAGCAAACCCATTCGAACAGAACAACATGACTCTCTCTGGCTCAATGGTACCTATTGCATTTTCAATCTACATTCCATCAATTTGACGTCCGTTCATAATTTAATTCATTTGATTAAAATCTAACACGTTCACTATGCCAAATTTATTCATTCCTTTCATTCTCGCAAATTTGTTTTTCTAATAAAATTCAATTAAACACATAAAATTAAAAAATCACTTAAAAACAAAAAAATCAACATCGACATATTTTTTTTTGTATCGTCATTATCGTTATTATCACCGTCAACAATGACATTACCATCATAAGCGTTATCACCATCATCAACAACAACATCATCGTCATAATCAACAACAACAAAAACAACATCATCCTCATCATCATTGTCATCAACAACAACAACATACCATCATCACCATTGTTCACGTTTTGCAACTTCATGGTCTATTTCATAATTTTGTTGGGTGTGAACTCTTCTTCACGTTGTCCCAGCCAGCCAGCCGACATCATGTGGCAAGCGACACATTCATAATGAGCAATCTGTCTCAAGCGTCTTTTTGGCTTATTTATTTTTCTTGCTCTGCGTGAAATAAGTTATGAGCACGCTCTGTTTCAACACGTACACTACTCACACAACAGTCACTCTTTTTTTTCTTCAATATTTTTTTTATTGTTAAAACATGTGATTAATGAGTTGAATATATTAGCAATAATGTCAACCAAAACTTTTTAATGTATTGCTTAACAGTACTATATTTTTTAAAGTACTTTTATTTAATTTGTATCATGTATCGCAGTACTTGAGCCGATCTTTGATTCTGTCTGAGGCTTAAAAAATAAAATAATTACTTTTTATCGTATTTGTTAAGATTATTAGTTGATAACAACCTATTGTGTAGTTTTTTTTCTATTATAAGTTTCCAAATTCACCATTGAATTAATTAAACGAAACAGTTCTTAATATGTTTTTTTTTACATATTTTTGTTGGACTCTCAAAGTTGCTTGGATCATTTTATAAGCTTGAAATAAAGATAATTATTAATTAGTTTAATTTTTTCATTTATTAATAAGTTTAAACAAAATCTTTAAATAAAAGTTTTTAATATTTTTTTACCTTTTTTTTATCTATATATTGAAATATACTTTATAATCATTTTATTTTGATTTTTTACTTCCTGTTTTGCTTCAAATTGGACATACTCACCTCAAATTTACTCAGCATATGAACGATGTAAAAATTTTAAAACACAAGAACCTACAATATGTCTCCTCGCTCGAAGTAAATCATAACCTGTCCTCATAAATATTATTATCATATACGTCTGTTAACACATATACACACATCTGTTAACACATCACTGTCCATTGTACTGCAACATATGTATAAGGTAGAAGCTCCACTGCGAAAATAATTTGCGTATTATTTACATTAGCGTGATTTAAAAATTGCTGTTTTCATGTTTGCGGAGAGAACGTTTGGTGCTCTGGTCAGTGTTACTTATTAGTTACGTGCAACTGGTCGTAAAACCCAATAAAGGAGAATATTTTTTGCTTCACAGATCCCAGTTTTGTGAGCAGTTTTACGTACGAAAATAGAATTTATTTCTTTTTTCGCGAGACTGCAGTCGAAAACATTAACTGTGCTAAGGTGAGCATTCATTTTTTTTCTGCCAAAACATTCATAAATCATTCTTGCTTTTTTTATAATTTAATGTAGAAATTAAATTCATTATGATACACAAACACAAATTTTGAAAAATTTCAACAACTACAAAAAAATTTAAATAAACCCAAAATGCTGTTTGAAATTTTTTATTTTTCCTTTTACGTTGAGACTGTCACGTCAGCATCTTATCGTGTCCCTTCTAAATTGTGGCTAACCAGTCAAATGTTTCTCTCTCTCTCTCTCTCTCTCCCGGCTTTATTATTTCTTATTCATGCGATGCTTTCTACTGACAGGATTGGGCTATTCATTAAAAATTTCAACCGCGGAAAAGAAATGAAAATCTCTCCTTTGATTATTTTTTCCATTTTTCTACTAACGTTGCCAATCTTAAACTTTTCATTAGTTTCTCAGTGAAATGATTTAAGAGAATAGCGTGTACAAATACAGACTTTACACTTTACCCACACTTTACATATATTTTTTTAATATGAACAAGTACACGCACTTGAACGCATACAAATGCATGCATAAAACACACATACGCACACAAACACATCCATACACACCAACTTGTACGTATACATAGGTAAATATTTTGGGTACTGGAACTCAGATGAGCGTCTGCTAATATACAAATGCGTATGTTGCTCCGTAAACATCATGCTTTGTGTTTATTTACATACTCTTATGTACACACGCACACACACACACGTGCACACACACACGTATATATACAAACACACGTAAATACTTATATACAACCATATAGGTTAACATTTTTTCATGGCCTGCATATACGTGAATGGGTATCCTATTGATATAAAAAGAAAAGACGTTAAATCATCAAATGTTACCGATAAATGTTTAATCTCATCTCACGATGACATTCAGTAGCGCAGCTAGAAATTTGCCGATGGGGTTAAAAATGTTCTAAGAAATTTGAAGAATTTTTTTGCTCGGCCAACATTTTTACTGTCGTTTACATGTGACTTACCTTATGAATATTTTTATTTTGAAGCTAGATTGATGACAAAAACTAACTTCTACCTCAAAGTTGAAGTCTCGCAAATGCTTTAAATGACATTAACTTCAATGACCGACGACAGACCATATTCTCGAGAGTTGCGCGTGTTTGCATAGATGATCCCGGCGGCGAGAGGGTCATGAAGAACACGTGGACATCATTCAGCAAGGTGAGACTCAACTGCTCCGTGCCTGGAGACTATCCATTCTACTTCGATGAAATTCGTTAGTTCAATTTTTCGTGTTGCGTCCTTGCTCTCCCTCCCTCTCCCTCTCTCTCTGCTTGTTTGCATACGTGGATTGAAAGATGTGTGTATGCAAACATTCTTCTGTAATTTATACAATTGTTAGCTTTTCCTTTGTTTAGGCTGAGTGATATTATTGTCTATTTATTATCCAATTGATAAATCGCCAATATGAAATTTGATAATCATATTTTTTGAAAATTAACTTCAACATATAAAACTATAATTATTATTATACATGATATTATTATTTTGCTGGTGTCATTATTGTTATCGTTATTGTTATTATCCAACCGCTTCAGTCTATTTTCAAATGAACGATTGAAAACATTTCAATTAACACTTCTGCAAAAAAATTAACAAACAAACAAACCAACACACAAACAAACAAACAATGGAACGCGACGTTAGAATCGACAACGGAGCTGAACAATGGAAGCTACAGGTCGACCATCATGATGTCTGACCAGTCAGCGATGCTCTACGCTGTCTTCTCCACGCCCAAGTAAACTTTCTGGTCTTGTTCCATTTTCAGATCTTCATGTTTCAGATTTCCTTGAAACATAAACACATTAAACAACTATAATTATTAAAAATCCTCTTTATCCGACAATTTGAAGGCGAATAAATTTACTTCATTTTTGATAGAGGCCAAAAATTTCTACACTTCAAAAATTGAAAAATAACGGATTTGAATATGAAAAATGTTTAGTTACTGTAAAAATGTATTATTTTTTGTGCAAATAACTGCAAATTATATTTTTGTGATTGTTGTATGAGGAAAAATGCAGAAATTAAAATTCAGCTATAAAATATCATTCAACTGAAAATGACCATATATGATTTAAATGGGCCAATGTAGAAAAGGCAATTTTTGAAGTTGCTCTCAGCTTTGTAATCAAAATATATTTAACAATTAAAAATTCTTCCTGGTTTATTCATGACATCATTTATGATGATTCAAATAAAATGGAAAAATTTGTTTTTAATTAGCAAATGTGATGACAAAAATGTCTGACATAAAACAATAACCTGTGATAGTGCGATTAATTCTTAAAAAATGTTTGGAAACAAAACAAAACATGTCTGTCAATTTTAAATGAAAACATGTATCTATTTTACAAAACCACAGATGTTCATATATAAAGTATGTATATATATTCCGAATCAGAAACAGCATAAAAGGTTCAGCTGTGTGTGCATTCAAGATGTCGGATATTTTGAAAAGCTTCCAAGGGCCTTATAAAGATCAGAAAACTCCCTTTCACAACTGGCTTCCAAATAGGGATTTTCCATATCCACATCCTGGGACTGTTAGTTTTTCTTTACATGTTCGTCTAATCTTTAATGTTGTGGGCTATTGGTTGATTGATTGGTTGATTGGTTGATTGATTGGTTGATTGATTGATTGACCAATAAAATAGCTAATTAAATTTAATGATTTTAATTGAACAAAATAAAAAACATTATCGCATATTAACAAACATAACTTAGACTTTTTCTTTGCACAGTATTTCATTCCACCAGCAAATAACAAATCGATCAAATGATTGCAAACGAACCGACTAAAACTAAAATAAAAGACCTGAACGACCGAGATGCCATAAAGCAAAGCAAGCAGTAATCATTCGAGCCTGCATTTAGAGGCGTCTTACTGCAAACAACCGAGTAAAAAATAGAGAACAAATAACTTCCATTATAAGCATGCAGATGTACAACCCGGCTGTGAACACACGTACGTACAACCCACTAATTATTCTTTTTTCCTTTCTTCCTATTTATCATTCCTTTTCTCTCTCATTTTGTTTGCTCAGTTTAGTGTTGAAAATTTCACCTTCGTTTTTTCACTGCGCTTACAAATTGACTGACAATACAAGCCGATTATCTGTTTTTCGCTGATAAGAACAACGTTCGCCATCCACTGACGAAACTTGCAGAACAAACTGCTGCTGATGTCCCAATCCTGATCCAGACCCAAGCCCAGCACAAGTCCCATTACACAGTAGCACCTGTTCAACACAAGTCAACTATCTGCCCAACGAAATATATTATAATAGCGGTTAATTGAAAAACACGTGCTTGAGATGTAAATAAAGCGCTGTACATCATCTGAAGCAATATGTTCATGCAAATAGCTTTTGTACTCGTGAGCCGGCATGGCATGTATTTCAGTGTATTGGCAGAGCATATTGAAGTTTTTGTGTACGTAATATCACACAAGCACGTGAATGTGTGTGTGTGTGTGTGTGTGTACTTATGTGTGCATTCACTGGGAATATAACCAGTTGAACGTGAAATTTTAAATACTAAATTTATATATATATATATATATATATATATATATATATATATATATATTACGTAGATGATAATTTAGGTTAGGAGGTATAAGTAAATATAGGTTATATATAGATATATGTTCAAGTTAGTAAGCAATTGTAATGATAGTTGAGTTATAAAAGTAGTTCAAGACGAGTCAGCAAATTTACCGACATAAAGCAGCTTAATATAAGATAATATAACGTATAACTTATCACAGCATATAATACTTTATATAATAAGAATGAGGCGTCATACAATAGGGACTGACTGGTTAGAAGGAGTTGGACAACTAGTTAAGCTCTAGCAAGTATCCTAGCATATAATAGGCGAGCACATAAGTTAAAGAGAGTTAAGTTGAGAGTTATATTAGTTATTTCTTAAACACTTTTAAGACTCAACGCACTCTAATATATTTAAACACTCTCTGATAATCTTTACATTATTTTTATTAGCATCATTCAATTTTACAATTTAAGTTTTATTATAATATTAAACAACAAATAATATTATCAACAATAATGGGTGAGTCGTTTCTCTTTCGATTTCGATCATTAAACTTTACAACATTTTATACACTAACTATTGTTCAACACACGTAAATCACCAATTAAAATCATCTTTCATTATTTTATGTACATGAACAATATCGAGTTATTTAACGTTGAGCGAGCGAGTTTACAGAAACGGAAAGAATTTCCTCAAGAACCAACTATGTAGTTCGTTCAGTAACCATCGTAGAATGGTGAAGAGCGAGCAACATAACAATATTTCGAATAAAAATTCAAATAGACGTGTATAACCATAGAATACTGAAGCAAGTAGGCCAGCAAAAAATATAAAGAGGTATAAGCATGAGGTATAAGCACAATTGCATGTACAATCTTTGCCACTTTCAATGTTTTGTGGTGTTGGTAAAAAAAATTGAAAACGTCTGAGGACATATATTTCAAGAGCAAAAGTCGTCACGGCGACCTTTTGTTCACAGCTGTTGGCAATTAATTAAAAAGATAGGAGTGAACTTGCATGAGTGCACCAATGTTGGGCCCCTGCGTCTTTAAGCAAGCGTACGACTCGATATTTTTTAAAACATAACTCATAGTGCGCCGTCTTCACTCGTGTCGTCTGCATTGTTCTTCGCTCTGCTTCTTCACTCTGCTTCTTCTAAGTGATGACCATCCTTACGCTCTAATGTTGCGTGCTGCTAATAGATTTAAAATAAAATCGTCTGTGTCTAATCTTCTCCTTATTGCGTATTCAAAATATTTTTATAATATTTCAATTTTGAATTATATAATATTGTTTTGAAAAAATAGGTAGTTTACGTCTTGGCCAATCTAAAAAAACATTTAAAAAAGGATTTGGGAAATATTTTTTACTTTTTTCATCCTGCTGGACGTAAAATTCAAAGTAAGCACAGTTGCTTCAGGTTGACCTGCAAAAGTTAAAAAAAAAACTAATTTGCACCAAAATTCTGCCAAGGCTTTCATGCGGCAACACAATTTTTTGTTACTTTCGCTTTTTTCAACTCAACAATTTCTAAATTTTCAAAAAGTAAATAATTTTCTCGCATTTTATTGTTGAAAAGTTGTGTGTAATAACTTTTTGCCTGATTTCATCAATTAGAAGGTGCGCAAGGCAATAATATTAAGATTTCATTTCATATTTATTTCTCAAAACGTTTCATGGGATCACGCCTGCCTGCTTTTCCTTCATCTCAATAAATAAATAATTGTTCAGTCGACTGCTGCATGCATGGCTGTTGATAAAAAATTTAACAGCTACCAACCACAGGACGATGATTTTTAATTTGCAATCGCATCAGGCTTTTCAGTTGAGTTGAATGTTTCTGTGTGCAAAGCGTTTTCAGATTTTTTTTATCTATTTTAAATTAATATCAAATAATTGAAGTTATTTGAACTTATTTAAATTGATCAAAATTGCTTAAAAAATTACCTCACTTTGGTCTAAATTGTTTTGATTTTATATAAACACACCTCACCTTGTCAATATTGCCTGAAAAACTTTATTGTGAACATCTTTTAATCACACATCCACTCATCACAATCACCACATCGTTACAGCTGCATATGATGTACATTAGAGTGGAAAATTTAAAAAAAAATGTAGTTTAGACATCATATCCATCGCGTTATAACATCATTTCCTAGCCACATCATCATCACGTTACTACATCATTGCTGACGCATCTTATCGCTGCGTTATCACATCATCATCACACATCCCTTCAAACATGTTTACATCACCACATCATGCACCAACAGAATTGAAGAGTCCTCTTGTATAAACGACCATTTAAGCAGTTTTGCCGTGTCAATAACAACAAAAAGTTATTATTGACATCGTTATTGTTATTGATATTGTTGTTGCTACAGATATTATTACTACTCTCGTTGCTTGTGATTTGGTTAGCATTGTTATCACTGCCATCAATTACATCAGAAACGATTTTATATTTCTATATTATTTGCTTTTATTGTTATGTTCTGAATGTTACTAACATTATAAAGAATAATGATGTTGACAGAAGAAGCAGTTGTTGTAACAGCAGCAGTAGCTGTAGCAGCCGTAGTAAGTAGTAAGTAGTAGTAGTAGTAGTAGTAATAGTAGTAGTAGTAGTAGTAATAATAATAATAGTAAAAGTAGTAGTAGTAGTAGTAGTAGTAGTAGTAGTAGTAGTAGTAGTAGTAGTAGTAGTAGTAGTAGTAGTGGTGGTGGTGGTGGTGGTGGTCATGTGATGATGATAATTTATAACACAGATATTAAGTTGTCGTGTCGTCAAAAACAATTTACAACCGCAAATCGATGTTCATCATTTGCACGCGTTCTCATAAACAAAACAATCTAACATAAAAGCACAACCACATCTAAATACATATACAATACCTTACACACACACACACGTTCGCACACACACACACGCACACATACATATATAATACGAAATAGGAAAATACTGTAAATATAATATGCATAATGTTTTAATGTGTTTTCACGTTTAGATGTTAGTCCTAATCTATATTGGACAAAAAGATGATGTAATGTGTATTATGTGTGTTTGATGTTTCATGTTTACACCTTTGAGAAGCATCAATGAATTAAGATGGAATTAATTGTTGTATGGGCGTTTAACATTTTATAAAAATAATCTTTAGTATCAATTGGATGTACATTGTACGCACATTTAAAAATTGAAGTTTTTTATTAAACCTAGGATTTTTTACGTAAAACATACTTCATAGAATTTATTTATCATGCTTGCAAATAAATTTGTTTATGCACATGTTGTATGTTTATGATTTAACATACCTGACATTTTTGGCATATTTGAACGTTTAGCTAATTTACGCAACAAACAGTATAGCACGAAAAGACTTTGTATATACAAACGCAAATAAATTTATTGAACAAAATATAACAACACGGTTTAAAAGCTTTTTCAATGAAGAATGTACATTGATGAAAATTTCGGTATGTATTATTATTTGGTGCTTGGAAACAAATGAAATGAAACATATCTATGTATAAAAATAATATCATTATACATGCAAGCATAACAACACATGTTAACATGATCTGCATAGCGTTCAAGCTTTTAATATTTTACATTACACTGAAGTATCTCGTGAATATTGATTTATCCTTCTTTGTGAAAAATCCTTTGTTCCTATGTGAACCTTTGTCTGAATATTTTCATTTAGTTATTGTCACAAAATAAAATTAAGTTGGAATTTTAATTATTTAAACAGCAATCAATAACAAGCGAGCTGTTCTTGGTGTCTAACGAAACATCCAGTTAAAATTGTTTGTTGCCAAATACTTAACGATCAAAATATATATTAGAAATCTTTTATTATTAAAACTACCAAAAGGCGAACGCTTCAAATGTTTCAAATACTAATGTAACGCATGGACGGCGTGATAGTGTAACGTTAAGGCGCCCAGCATGGCTATAGCAGTTACCAGATTCGATGGCAAAGAAATCCAATCTCATTGCTTGCAATGTATGTGATGCGCTATTTCACGTGTATTTACATAAACTGTTGCGCTTGTTGTTGATGCTTTAAAAAATTATTTAAAAAAGATTTGTAATAAATAAATTAAATAAATTAGATAAATAATGCATATATTTTCCACTATTATTTTCCATTTGAAACCGTTTTTTAATTATCTCAACAAAATAAAAATGTTTTGTTAGGAAATAACTTTATAAACGTTTAACGTAATAAAGCAAAAACTTTATTATCCGTTATAAACATTCCATTATTAACATTTCGTTATAAGCATACCATTATAACCATTCCATTATAAACATTTCGTTATAAACATTCCATTCTAAACATTTCATTATAAACGTTCCATTATAAACATATCGTCATAAACATTCCATTATAAATTCTACGTTATAAACAGTACTGCCCTAAAGAGAAAAATCGTGAAAATGACCAGACGTTGAACTTCATAAAGTCCCACCCACTTATGGATCATGCGGTGCCAGCATATGGAGGTCGTCCCATTTTTATTCACACCGGATTCGAGTTAGTCACGTTCCTCGTGTTAGCGTGTGTGTGTGTGTGTGTGTTTTGGGGTTGGTTGGTTGCGTTTGCAGTTTTGTTGACTTTTCGTTGACGATGTTGTTACTACGTTTGGTTAGTGCTGTAATGTTTTTCGTGTTGTTGTTATTGTTTGATTTGTGTTTTGAAGATTGTGCTATATGATGAGGTTCATGTTGATTTTGTTGCTGTTTTGGTTATTATAGCATGGCTATCAGTGCTGATTTTGTTGTTGGTGGTGTTGATGTTGTTTGCTGTATTTTTTGCTGCTGCAAACTTATATTCATGTTGATGAATATGGTGGTGCTGCAAACTTAAGAATTATTGTTTGAGAATCTTACGGTGGTATTAATGTTGTTATTTGGATGTATTAATGTTGTTATCATTGTTATTATTATTGTAGAAATTTTAAATTTTGAATGTTTTTGCGTACATTAGGCTCATTGTTTGTATAATTTCATTTCGATTGGTCCATTGTTCTGCAAATATTTCTACTGCTGCATTTACGAAGATTATTAAATGTTATTATGCTTGTTCGTAAATTTTAAAATTTTTATAACATACACGAACAACACGTGTAGTAAATATGCGAACACACACACACACGTGCGCACACACACGCACACATTCACACAAATGAAAAAGAGAGATGCAGACATAACAAGACATATCCTTTAATCTAGTTCTTATTTACAACGTACACGATCGTCATTCTGATGACGACCGCAACACAAACTTATAGAAAAAAAACTAAAGCAGAAAAAACGTTACTAAAAAACAAACGAAAAATTAATTGAACATGAAGACAAACGAGAACATGCAAACAAACTCACAAATATTTAAGCGGGTACGATCACGCAAATGGACGAAAGAAGAAACACACACGATGCGGTGTGTTGATGGTTGTTGTGGCTTGCAAGTGACCCGACGACTGATTAGTTTGTTTATAAATTATGGACACACAATTCCCACTGAAACAACTGACCAACACATCTGACCACATCAGCATTAACCAACGTTATTATTGGTACTCACTAATCACCAGCTTAATACGGTCAGTGCTGATTGTGGCGCATCGCTTGCTATAGCGCTTGATGTAGGAATAAAAATTAATTTGAAGTTTATGCACTGTGAATAAGTAATGCCCACATTAAAATATCCATTCACACTTGTTATCAGCGCGATTATATTGTGAGCAGCATTGTTTAGATGAGACAGAAAAAAATAGTTGCTTAAAAAAATATTTTACTTGTTCTTCAATTTCAAACCGACTCAGATAAACTTTTGCAATTGCAAATAATAATAATCCAAGCTACTCAGAAAGTTTTGTGATTTTTTTTATTGTATAGATTCTATCATAAATCAAAATGATACAAAACATGTTCTACATAGAGTTTGCTATAAATCAAAGAGATTAAAAACAAATTGAAAGCAAGCAATTAAGTAACGTGGAACAAACACAAACATACCATCAGACAAGCAATTCAATGAAAAATAACATAGGACAATTATCTGCTCCTTTATGGACGTGTGTGTGCTTGCATTATACGTGGTGTTATACGTTAGTGGTGAGGATAATAATGATGAAAATATTAATGGTAATGATAGTTTTGTAGCAGTGACAATAGGGAAGGTGATGTAACTTGAGTACCACATTTCTCCTTCCAGTCTGATCAGTATGTAGGATCCGGGCTGTGTGTGTGATGTTCAACAAATGTTCCTATCATTGCTGTTCCAAATTTTCTGATCGATAAAACTATTTAAGTAGTGATTCATGATAATTTTGGCAGTTGTGTATTTATTTTAATGCTCCAATTTTTGAATGCTTCAATAGTTTAACTGAATCGAGATTAATTAAAAATCTACAGTGCTACAAATCTAAATGGACTTGCTCGTAAATATGTAAAACTAAGTGTTGTATTGACAATAGTGAAGATGTATACATAAAGTGATAGACCGTTATACGTGTATAGAATACTGGAAAGAATGGGTGCTTCGAGATGGAAGAGACGTCGTAAGATTTCAATTTTCTGTTTGAAGCCTTCACAATATGCGCCATGCATTTGCTTTTTCATGTGAATAATGTATGAATGATCTTTCAAAAGGCTTGCGATGTAAAGCTGTTGTTTCCGTGTGACGCTGCCTCTCAATACTTTCCCACGTTGTCCAGGCTTACACTGTCGTTATGACATTTCGTTTGAGTCATTTCAGAATATCAAATTGAATTTATTCACGTTTTATCTTAACTTTCACGCAAAATTATGCACTCTCCAAGATGCATTTACAAACAAGTTGAATCTAGCAGTATGAGTATAAAACTAAAAATATATTATAATTTAAACGCAAATAAAAATGCAGACATAGAAAAACTTTTGTATTAAAAGAAATATACATACACACATACATACATACATACATACAGACATTCATATTGAAAATATCCAACTGAATACCGACATGTGCAATTAACGACAAATCAAAGTGTTAATCCATTTGTTACTTGATGTTTGACGGTTCAGTGTCACTCATCATGTTTTGGTTTTAACATACAGACAGACATATATACAGACACACGTACATACATACATACAGACACACGTACATACAGACACACGTCATAGAAACACACACACACACACCCAAAAAAGGCATCTTTACATTTTTTGTCTCGTCCATTATTATTTCATGCCTCGCCAAATAGATTGACGCTAACATGCATCGCTGTGGACTGGCAGACTCAAGCCGCTAATCACCGTTTCTACGATATTTTATACATCGGCACTGGTTAGATTTTTTTTTGGATTTTTCACTTTAAAAACAATTTAGTCAATTATTATTGCCAGTGTGTGAAGTTATTAAATTACAAATTGCAAATTTAATAAATAAATATTTCGATTAATTAATTTTTAGGACTTTTTTTGTTCCTTTGTTTTTTCAGTAATGCCTTTTAGAATTTAATCGTAATTTTATTAGTGGTAATTTATTGATAGACCATTTTTTTAAATTGTTTTTACAATTACTATCAAGACTAATTATTTTCATTAAGATTTTGTTTTGTTGTTTAGATGCGCACTTTAAAAGCAATTATTTAAGATTACGAACAAAACTGCGTTAACATGGCATGCTATTTTTCTTCACACTGATAAATTTTTATACAATTGCCGCATCCAATTACCATTGCAATATCAACTGAAACTTTTACAAGAGCCTGCACTGTTTTTTTTACACTGTCTCCACTGAATAAAATGTATGCATCCATGCTTACATACTTTATATACAACGTGCTACAAACGAGTCCTTCAGTTGTTTAAATATATCTGACCTCTGAGCTTTGAACTCTGACCCTTGTTCTCAAAATGTCGAGTCCATAAAATCAGAGTTTCAATTCTTTTTTATTATATTTTTGACATCATATTTAAATATTTTATGTTTTGGGTCCGTTGTAGTTCTCTTATGTTTTCTCATTTGAAATTTCATCGATCGAAAGCAGCATGTTTCATCTTATTGTCCAGGACACATGGGCGCCGTAGCATGCATGCGTTATATCTTCCTTGCACGTCTGGAAACTTCGGCTGTTATTTTTTGTTACGCAAGTGGCAACGATAAATTAGCTTGATTAAAATAAATATCATTAGATAACAATGGTTATCTTAAATTATAATGATAAGCAATAAAGTTAACAGCAGAATTCAACGCTAACTAAATAATGCACCAAAAAAATATCGACATGGGATCAAATATGTGTGAGTAAAATTGAACAACAAACAAATTTTCCATTATTATTTTTCATTATTTTATTTAAAAATGAAAATTTCACGAAATATTTTCGAAAGAATTGTCAACGCGTTGGTAAGGACGAACGGTCGAACGCGTCAATCACTCAAATGTCAGCCAGTAATTCATTTGATTACAGTTGCCTACCTACCGCAACTTCAATTTATCTATGTTACGAGGTCACACTGTGCTCTCTACGCCAAAACAGTCTATTTATTGTCTTCTGTTTTATGAATGTTCACCAATGTCTTGTGTGGTGTTTTGTTACGCTGAACAATGATTAATAAATAAACAAATAAATAAACGAAAGTTTCATACATGATGCATTCGGTGTTTTCTTCATTTCAAATCCGACTTTTACATATCTCATAATAATGTCCCACTAATAGTTTAAAGTTTGTTTTTCATAAATTTTCTTTTGTGAGTTTCATTTTCATATCATTATTTGGTGATGTTATAATCAAATGCAAGATTATGCCATACTACTTACTAATAAGTTAGGCAAATGTTTCTTAAACTCAGAAGCTAACTTGGGCGTATTTTTAGTGTTAATGAAAATGTTGCTTAGACGGATCAAATTTAAATGAATAATAATTTTTCTTTTTTTTTAAAGCACCATTAGTTTTTGAAATTTGATTTTGAAGAAGAACATTTTTTGAAGAAGAAAAAAATGAAAAAATTGTATGGGGGGGGCATCATGCCAAAGAACTTTTGTTTAAATTTTTTCATAATTTTAGCATTGAGCATTGAAAATATATTTATAAATGGCTATTCAAATTTTTAATTTTTGTTAGAAATTTCCTGATGAATAAAACAAATTGAATATTTTAAATAAACAATTTTAATTATTATACCAAAATTATTTTAGCTCATTGAGAGTAAGTTATGCACTAGAAACGTATCATTGAAAATGCATTAAGCAGAAATGGTGGTAGAACGTTTCAAGGAACGAAGCGGTTGCTCCCACAACGGGCTCCTACCAACATGATGTTTCAAGCCCGAATGAATTGAATTAGCCTCTATATCTATAATTTGTTTTTTTTTGTTAATTAGCAACTATTATGAAAAGTTATTTTCTCATCCTGTTCATAAATGTGTCGAATTGTTTGTTTGTTTAATTGTCATTTTAAAACGATTGGACGTTTTCACATCGACTTGCATAAATACTTCCACAAAAGACATTTTAAATTCAAATTTATTTAAGGCAATGCAGTTTCGAAGGCATTTTGTTTTTAAAAAAGTTGGCAAAGTCATAAGGAAAAATTATTCAGTTGTCGGCAAAAACTTTTTAAGGTTTAAAACTTTTTAAGGTTTTGGCAACGTTTAATATTATTTTTCCCCCAAATATTAATAACAACGACAAATGCAATGATAACAACATAATAATAATAATAATAATAATAATGAATACTCTTTACTACAATCCAATTAAATTGAAAAATATAAAATCAAATAATATAATTAGCACGATATATGATAATTATGATAATAACAAAAACAACAATAATTTGAATGAAGATGATGATGATATTATTAATAGCAATAACAACAATAAAGATAATAACAAAAACAACAATAATTAGAATGAAGAAGAGGATGATATTATTAATAGCAATAATAACAATAAAGATAATAGTGAAGAACAACACCAACATTAATGACAACATGCACACTTGACAGAAGATCACTATACTTCAAAATTTTGCTTCATTACAAAAACTGCTTGGCGATGGAAAGTTGATGCTTCCAGGCTCGCTTGGCAGGCCAAGTCACTCGATTTAATGAGGAAGGTAAGCATTCGGGATAGAAAGTGGTTTGGTGGCTATCTTGTGGTTGTCAGTGGCCATCTTTTGGTTGTCAGTGGTCATCCTGTGGTTGTCAGTGGTCATCATGTGGTTTTCAGTATTTGTTTTGCAGTTGGAAATGATTTTCCAGTCTCCGTCTTATCTTATGGTTTTCATTGTCTGTTCTACCTATGTTATGGCAAATTTTAATGACTAGTTAATGTTTAAGCTTTTGATTTTTTTAATATCTTCAATAAAACCATCAGTGAATATGTAGGCGTGTAATTTATGTATTGAGAACGTTTTAATCACTATTAACAAGTGGTATTAACAAATATTTTAAAACAATAGAATTGGAAAAATTTTTGAACAAAAAATGAAACATAGGACAGGCCTCAGCATAAAAAAGAACATGAAGAGAGTCTACACCCAACCAACTTGAGTGTTAATGCTCACTTTGCCTGACAATGTTCAATAACTTTTCTGCGCACACGAGTCCCGAGTGCTCGCCTCCTCTTCCTCCTCCTCCTAGTCATCAACACCTCCTCGCTTCGAGCTAGCGTGCCATACAAATTTCTAAAATATGCACTTGTTTATTCTCTCGTTTTACGTCGCTTTTTTATAAAGTAAAAGGGACGGGCGGATGTTTTCTTGTTATTGCAATTGCAAACTCGACGATGCATTTGCTTTCTCTGCGTCCTTTTACAACCCGTGTTGAAGTGTTTTCACGTGCATGCAAGCGTGAATATAAAGGAAATGCACGGAAAAAAAACCAGAAACCGAGAGAAAGAGAAAGAGAGAGAGAGAGAGAAACAGCGAGAAACACAGATAGAGATAGAAAACGGAAGGGCGGGAAAAGAGCAGAAGAGATAGAGGAATGTTTATTATGCCCCATGCATGGATGCACAGTGTGGAGTTGAGTTACAGAGCCTCCATGCTCTGCTCGTCTCATAAGACTTGTCCCCTGACAAGTATATACTTTTATATATAAGTATAAGTTATATACATTTATATTTTATATCTTCCTGGTTTTATATTTCACATTTTACAGCTAGAATTTTATATAATTTTCTTTATAATTAATTTGAGATTTTAACGAACTTTTTCTGTTTGAAAATATTACTGCCACAGATTTTTGTATTTAAATCAACTAACACGCAACAGTTAGCCAAAGTTTTGCTCAATAAATTTTCATTATTATATTGTAAATAAAATATAAACAAAATCAAATTTATAATTGTCATGCACTTGAAACTTTATTTAACCTTACTCGACCGATTCAACTTTTTATAAAAAAATAATTTGCAGCACAAAACAAAAATAAAACGAAATAATGCTAAAAACACTGATATTTCTGAAAAACAATTTTTTCTCTTCTTACTCATTCATTGTTTTCTATCGTTACTTTAAATTTTGTGTTGTGGATTTCGATTGATTAGATTTTATCTTTCTGAATAATCTCAAACTCTTCTCGTCTTAATATGAAAAAAAGTTAATTGGTAATGAAATTTATTAACCATTTTTAAGTATTTTAACTTTAAAAACTTGTAAAATTGTGAAAAATTATACGATTCTTCATACAAAACATTCTGCACTGCACGCAGACAACGGCCGCGTCATAAAGGCCTACAACAAGGGTAAGGACGAAAAAATTCAAACAGTTGTAGTGGAAATTCTACAAGTTTTCCCTGAAAACATTCCAATAACTCAACTCAAAATCTACACAACGTCCTCTAAAACAAACGGCAACAACAACAACAAGTCACAAAAAAATCAGACCGAGAAAAAATTATTGGTGGTTTCCCACGTAGAAATCAAATCTATTCATCTTCATCGATGCCAGGAGGCCAAGTCGTGCAGGTTTTTATGAATGAATGAGTAATGTACTATAATTCGATGAGTGAGTGAATGATGCGTAGTAAATTGGTGAATAAATTAACGATGCGTAATAATTTGATGCTGTTTGATGATCTGAGAGTATTTGTGTCAATTAAATCGATACAAATACAAATAACTTTGTTATCCCTGCTATGTTATATTTTTTTTCTACCAAAAAATTATTATTCAATGTTAAATTTTCTATTTTTAAATTTTAATAATATTTTGAAAGAATTAAATAGCAGAAAAATTTCACCACGGCAGCTCCTGCATTGCCCTGAAGGACCCCTACTGTGCGTGGAGAGATGGCAGGTGTTCTCACTCGAGCCACGGGTCAGGGTTATTCATTCACTTTTTAAAAATATTGAAATCTAACTTTAAATAAAAATTTGTATAATTTTAAGTTTACCAGAATTATTTAAAATCTAATTTTAGTGTAAGAGCTTTTTTTCTCTAAATATTATTTAAATTGACAGCCTGCAAAACCTCGAGTTGGGTCTCCACCCAAAATGCATACCTCTTGTAGTTGAAACAACGCCGAAAATGTTGACAACACCTATGAAGGAGCTAACAACAACCACCACCATAACAACATCAACAAGCCAACGATCCACCATTACAACAACTTTATTCTTCGATTTGTATTCTTATAACGACGGTATATACCTTTCTAACAGTTGCTGTGTGTTTGTTGGTTTTTAATCAATTATTGAATGCCTGTTACTCTAATCATTTGCTTTGTTTTTTTACGCTAACGTTCATCAAAACAGAAGATGCATTGTTTCCATCGTATCAAGCTCACATTGATTCTATCGATGAATCGACATTCAGCAACTTCAACAACTTTGACAACAACAACAATATCATCAACAACAACAATAACCATCCTTCTTATAATTTGCATAATTCAATATCGCAAAGTTTGTGGTTTTAATAAATTAATTAATCATTTAATGAAATTTACTATTTTTCGGTTTAAAAATATTTATTTATTCATCAATTAACATTCTTTTATATTTGTATAGCTTTTTATTAAGCAAATTTAAATTTAATTTATATAAACTTGATCTGTTACTGTCGATTTGTAATTGAATAAGATGCAGCAGTTAGCTCAGAAAGTGTAGTATGCAACGTATCGACATTCAACATCATCTTCGCCATTGTCCTCACTTTCATCATCACATTCGTTGTCGTCTTTCCGTGTGGAATCTTTCTGGGGCGTTTTTGTCGGGTGCAGCCTGCTTTCAAATTGGAATGGAGACCAAAGAAGAATCAATTCAGTTACGCAGACAGCACGATTGCCGTTCAGACCAAATGTATCGACGATGCTAATGAATTCAGAGCCATGCAAAGCTCGTACGAATTCAAATCCCCAATACAAACGACCTTTGTACCAATCATTCCTACCGATGCCTATGTCAACAAAAATATCACTCTTAACAACAACAACAATAATAATAATAATAATAATAATAATAACATCAACAACAACAACATCCTCTACCACAACGCTAACAACAACAACATTTTAAACGCAAACAACTACACGAGTAATTATTTGTGTGGCACAAACAATATAAATAACAACAACAACACCAACGTTAACGTTAATAAAAACGACATCAGCAAGATGAACTATTTCAATAAGAACAACTTCAACAGCATGAACACTTACAACGTAAAGAGCTACCACATGGGCAGCATCGACAGAAGCGACTGCGACAAGACAGAGTACAGCAGCAGCATGTTCAGCAACGTCAGCTACAGTGACCACACTACGAAGAGCAACATGAACACTTCCAAAGCTCCACTTCTCTCTGCTACAGACAAATAATTCTTTTCATCGAATCAATTTTTTATTTAATTATTCTTTGTTTTGTTTTTGTTTGTTTTCCATTTTTATATCTTCTAAATCTATTTACATATATTTATTTATGAATTATTTTTGTTTAAAAGTTAATAGTTGTTGAAAAGAGCTATTGCTTGTAAGTACGGTAGATTTTGATGAATTAAAAAAAAACAGTTCGATAGATCAAAAAAAGATAAAAACATTTTCCTAACAAAAAACCAATGCGTTTAATAGAATGGCTAAAAAGTTAATTGCTGTGTTCAAATGATTTCTAATTTTAAAAAGTCATTTCGCTGTTCAACAGACAGTCTGTGCGCCTAACAAACACACACATCTTAACATATCGATCACAAACTTTAATATTTTAGGTTAATAACGGTGCTGTGAAAATGCATGCACTTGGACAGAACATTACAACATCATTATCATGTCACCAAAATGAAATTTCTATCAAAGTGGTGAAACTATCCTGCAACCAATATTTAAAAAAATTGAGACTTTATCGAACATGTTTTAGAGAGGCATCATCATATTTGGTGTTTCTAATTTTTGGCTAACCAATGAAAAAATCTCAACTACAGTTTAATGGAGTTACCATTGACGGTAGTGACAATGTACCAAAGCGTTTACTACAAATTCATTATACAATGGTACTACTAATTAACGCACATAACATATATTAATTTGATTATTTTTATTAAAACAAATATTCCAATTTTAGTTAATAAAACAATAAACTTGAAAATGTAAATTCGGGTTTAAATTTTTACAATACATATCGAGAATGGTCTTTTAACTTTTTAAAATTACGTATAAATTAGAAATTTATTTTTTGATCAAGATGTATAAGATGCTATTTAACATAGACTATACTGTTATTTCATGTATGTTTGCGTGTGTGCGCGCGTGTACGTGTTACGTGAAAGATTGTTTTGTTATTAAAGTAAGCTAATTCATTTCGTTGTTATCTGATGCAATAAACTTGAAATATAACTGCTATTCTGTTTCTGTTCAATTTTTTATAAAAAGTTATATTCTTTTGATCACTGCCGTTAAATTTCTTTACTTTGAAAGTAAAATTTTAAATTAACCTTAAATCTATCAATACACTTACAACATTTAATTTACATTACAAGATTGTTCCTATCATTACATTATGCCCTTAACTACCTATGAAATTAAATTACTCGGACCTTAGTAATAATAAATCTAAGTGGTGTGTTGTGAAAACAAAATTACCCTAAAACACTATTATATGTATTTATGTATGTATCTGTGTGTGTGTGTGTGTGTGTGTGTGTGGTGTGTGTGTGTGGTGTGTGTGTGTGTGTGTAATACGCTGATGCGTGTAATGTGGGTGAAAGAAAAAAATAGAAGCGATAAACTTACGCGCCTACCTATTCAACTACATTAGTATTGAATGTTTTCTATCTATCCTACCTACAATTAAAATTATGCCTTTCTAACTTACCTATGTAATTACCTAATGTAATGTGTGTGTTTGAGTATTTGTGCTAAATGACGCATGTCAAATAAATAAAAATGGTAAAATAGAAAGAAAGATTAAGACGTAGAGAGTAAGACCTGTGAGAAACCGCTCAAACTATACAACTCTATATAATCGCGCAAACTCCATATAACTCTATATAACCATGCAAACTCTATATAACTCTATATAATCACACAGACTACTACATTCAATAAATAAAATTTCCAATAAAACCAGGAATCTCCGCGTACCTGCTCAATGTACGGTGTGCAACAAAACAAAAAAAAACACAAAACGAAAAACTGACTACCAAGTAGAGTAAAGGACTATTCTTTAACCTACCTATGTAATTAAATTACCTTATGACCTAGCCTACCTACCTAAATAATAAATTAATTTCACCTACCTATGTTTTACTAACTTATTTAAATTTAAAAAAATAATTTCAAACTACATAATTCAATTTAATCATAATGTTTTAAACATATTAAGATAAATAAATATTTAGTATTATTTGTTTGTTGAGATCCAGGCAATTTCGTCAGTAAGCCAACCATGGCTTAGATAAGCCACTGTATTTTCTATACGAAAAGCAATATTTTTATTTAAATTGACAACAATAATTGCAAACAAGAAAACAATGATAATTTAGTCAATTAGTTATTAGTTGTTTTTTAAAACCCATGAAATTTCGTAAGTAAGCCAATAAACCAAGGAGTTCAAATAGCCAATGTCTAATATTAAGCCAACTTCAAAAAAAATTCTTCCCATGCACAAACGAAACGAACTGCGGGGAGAACGTTTAGGATTATTTAGATGAAATTGAAACTTCTTTTTAAAATGTCATTTTCCAACTCATCAAATATTATTTTTTTCAAATAATTTACATTTATTTGTATATAATTTATTCATTCAGAGCTTTCGCTAAATTAGTTATTTTAGAAAGCGGATGTAAAATATTAATTTGGATTTCTGCAATTATTTGAAAATAAATAAATAAAATTCATCGATAAAATTATAAAGGACGAGATCGATGTTAGTGGAGTGCTCTACATGTTGTTGTTTTAAATTTAAACTTCGAATCCGGGTGATTAATATTTTATTTATTGCACTCAGATCAGCAGACCAGAAAAAAATGGCCTTACAGGTGGTTTGTTTGATCAATTTGACAGCCTCCAAACCTCGAGATTCTGGACTGTCCGCCAGACAAGCAGCTTATTCTGATGTTGAGAAAGCCTGCAAAAGGTTTTTAAAAGTCTAAAATTTTTAACACAACAATGAAAGAGATAAATAAGAAATAATAATTACTAACATTTTTTATGAATATAAAAACAGTCAATTATACAAAAATAAATAAATGGTTTTTTTATTCTAAGTGTTTCAAAATTTATATCTTAAAAACTGCATTTGTAAATTTCAACAGCATAAAAGCAGAGCTGACTCAGATAAATTTTGAGAAGTTAGATTTTGGTGACACAGAAGCACTGGATAAGTTTTACAATGCTGATGTAGCACTTGTGGATATGAGTCTTGAATATCAGCAGCTGTCCTTGTCATACCACATTGGTGTCAGAGAGAGCATGTCAATGCCAGAAACAGTCATACTTCTGCATGACACTAATCCTGGCTTCACAATCTCTGTTAATGTTCGTACCTCTTATCTATAGGATAATTACATTGAATTCAAATAAATATTTTATGGTGTCTATCATACTAAAATAATTTAATATTTTTATTTTGTCTTTCTAAATTTATCACTTTTAAGAGTGCTATTGATATTAGTTATTTATAACTAGGCAATTTCTAAATTGTTGATATCTCATGATTTTATTCAGTTGACAAGCAAGAAAACAGATTTCTTTCCTTATAAATTGGGCAGTGATGGGAAATGTGTTGTAGTGGATGCAGGAGCCACAGCAGCCGAACCTTCTGGCACCAAAACTTTGGAGAAGTCTCAAACATTGCTACATTTCTTAAAAAAAGTTATGAAAAGAGTTGAAACAACTAGCAAGTTAGAATGTTTTCTAAATTTAATGAATAATATAAAAATATTATTGTTCATAAATTTTTTAAATTATTCATGTAATTATTTTTGGAAATAATTCTTTTCTAATTAATATAATTACCTGATGTAATGTTTTACAGTAAGATAATGATTTCTGATAATGATTTAAGATAATTCATTTACTTTTGATGATGCTTTATTGGTCTGTGATGCTTCTTGTTAATCATTAATTTATCATGATTAATAATTACTGTTACTAAATCATTTTAGAATCCACATCAAAGAAAAGTTTTTGTCTGATTTGAGGAAAATCAGAGAGAACAATAAAGGACCAGATCTTGAAAGGGTAGTTGTCTGTGTTATTTATTTATTTGATTTTTTTGCACTATATTTTTTGTGTTGAGAATTTTTGATATATTGTTAAGGAACTTTTTAACATATTTTTGCAGAAGAATATGTTTGTGGTTGTAGTTAAATATTTATCCCTCATATCTTATCAGCAATTTTTTAAGTTTCAACTGAGGCAGAGATCCCGTTATCATTTAAAAAATCTAATTTCAAAAAAAAAGCACAAGCAAACAAAATTAAGTATATTTTCAATGTTATACTATAGATGTCACTTTGGGTATCATTTTCAAAGTTATTTATTGTAAAATTGTAATCGTGGTCTGAGGAATGTGGTTGGTTGTTGCATAATCACCATTTTTATGATTGTGGATGTTTAAAATGCAGTCCTTGAAAGCGATGAGAGACAGGATGGATGACCCTCAGTTGCTATCATCTGACATTGTCTTCAACATGCTACTCTCCTACAGAGAAATTCAAGTTTGTATATTTAAAATTTTATTGCTCTATATTATCAGCGTCTCAATATTATTCAGTTTTGTGCTTTAATTTATATGCATGTGAATATGACGAATGATATAAATTACATGCATTTTTAATGCACTGTTACAAATTCAGTGTATTTCACGGAAACCTTAATGCACTATTTTCAAAGTGAATTTCAATGCATCCAGGATTACAATGCCATGGTGACATTAGTTGAGGAGATTGAAGATGTTAGAAGTCAGGTTAATGAAACAATGGCCATCCAACAACTTTATGCCTTTGCTCTCAACAGGTAATTACTTGGCATAGCTATATATTATAAATTTCTGGGTTTTTTTTTGGATCATATCATTATCAATCATCTATTATCTTAGGTTCTTAATTTTTTTATATCAATTACTATCTTTGGAATAAAAATGTGGAATCTGGTTTATTTGTGGATAAATTAACATATTTGACGAATTTCAACATGTTGAAATTAATTTTTGTGAAATTTGAAGGCGTAAGAAGCCAGGTGATAGAGACAAAGCATTGGAAGTCATGAACAAGGTTTCTAACTACTAAACTGCTACTTTTATTACTCTCTTTTTTCTCCTTGACAAAATCATAAACTCATTATCATTGTTTTTTTGTTGGTTATTTCACTGTTTATTGCAGTGATCTGAGGTTCGTAATTTTTTAATCACCCCATTAAATTTTATAGATACATATATCTGGAGTCATTTTCTACCATGTGCAATTATTTATTATTTTAGTATTTGAAGCTTTATTGTGCTTTTGTCAAATCTGTTTCTGTTTTATTATATTTTTTAGAACAAATATTCAATGTGTCAAAATTTCTAGAGCAGATAAGTTTCTATCCCATTTGCAGTGCATAGAACAGATGGAGACTCCGATTCCTGATCTAATCTGCCTATTGGGACGTATTTATAAGGACAAGTTCACGGATTCTGGGAGGCAAGATACTGAAGCACTTACCAATGCCATTAAATGGTTATTACTCACTTTTCCTTGTTTTATATATTGAAACATTATTAATTCATTGTTCATTTCATTTTAAATAACTTTTTTATTCAATATATTTTTCACATCTATGAACTTATTGCATTATCGAAAACAAAAATGATAATTTAAATAATTTTTTAATGGCTTGATCAAGCAGCCAACAACAACAAATTAAATGAACAATTAACCAACTTATCAGGTATCAGAAAGGTTTCGAAGCCCAACCCAACGAGTATGCGGGCATCAACCTTGCCACGCTGCTTGTCATCTCAGGAGAAAAGTTCTCACAGTCTACTAAGTTGCAACAAATCGGTAGGTTTATTGTTATTTCTGTATTGATTGCATAAATTTTTAAATCATTCAATATATTTGTGACATAACTGTGACACAAATTTGGGTTAGTTTTGATTATTCAAAATTTATTTGATCTAAATTTTTATATATCCATTTTATATTCAAACCCTACGCAGCCCTCACACTGAACAATTTGATTGGGCGCAAGGGCTACCTATCAACACTCACTGACTACTGGACCGTTGCCACATTTTTTGAGATTAGTGTCTTGGCAGAGGATTACAGCAAGGCAGTGCAAGCAGCTGAGTGTATGATGAAGTTGGATCCGCCCGACTGGTCTGAACCATTCATTCATTCACTCATTCATTAACTCATTTACTCATTCATTAATTCATTTACTCATTCCTTCACTCACTTTTTTAATAATTTAGACTTATAAATTTTTTTAACTCAATATTGTTCTAACTCTACGAATTGATAAATTGAAGGTACCTAAAGTCCACCATGGAAAACATCCGACTGATTACGTCATCCAGACAGGAAGAAAATATAAATCACAACAAGAGAGATAAAGAGGTCTGCTTTTGATATTTATATACTCTGCTGTCTTATGTTTGGCTTTTTCTCATTGTTCTTTTTTCTACCACACCAGTAGTTGATGATGGAGTTGTGTTTTTGCGTCATCAATATGAGTTTTTACCACGGTTCTAATTTAATTTTTATTTTTGAGGAATTTGTTTGCTGTAATGGTTTTCTGGAAAGATTGCAAATGTTGATAAGATTCATATTTCATATTTAATTGTATTTCTTCCATAGCTTCTAAAAAAATTATAGTTTAACAAATTACATGACTGTCCCAATGTGTCACAATATTAATTATTGTTTGGTTTTAAAAGATAAAATAAAAATTTTAAATAAATAATTTTAATAAATTAAAATAATTTCATCGAAAGAAATTTTTTTCAGTTGTTCAACTTCTGGATTGATTTCTTTGAAGAAGGTGTAGAAAAAGAGAAAAACGAAAATTATTTTTTTACACCCGTTAGTTTCCTCCATCAGCAATTATTTCAACTTCATTTCATATTCAATGTAACACTCTCTATATTTGACTGTGAAAAAAGTGTCCGAGATGTTAATGGGGTTTGCCAGTTATAAGGTTTTCTAGCCATTTGTCGATTATATTTTAAATGTTTATTTAGTTCTAGCCATTTGTCTATATATTTTCAAGTGTTTTAATTTAAATTACTTTTAATTTCTGCAGGTTCTTATTCTAGAGCCTCAGAAAGTATTGATGCCTAGTCACTTTCAAGCTAACATGGATGACGAAGGGAGTGTAAGTTTTTCAATGTTTATACGTTTTGCTTATGCGTCCGTTATTTAGCACATGGCGCTCTTATTAATTAGTCCTCATTTTGAATTAACTCCCTGATAACTACATTATGATGTTCAACTGTATATAATGATCACATTATTCTTCCTACTTGACAGATTCAATGTTATATCGGAGTTTCTTATTGCCATCGTTGCTCGCTTTTAATGTGTGTTGATTAATGATGATTTTTATTGATGATGATTCACAATAAATGTCAACACATCCATAACAAGTACTGATATCATAATTCTCACAGTTTGTGATGATGTTTTATTTGAAATGATCTGTTGCAATTTTGATGGTGTAATTTTCCTTGCTGCTTCAATAATCATACGCGTCAACACTTCGTTTCGTTCGCATATTATTTATTTTGCTATTCTTATTCAATTTTATCCAGTTTTTGAATTATTCTCATTTACTTTAATGTCGTCATATTAAATTATAATTTCAGCTTGAAATTCGTTTGGTTATATTCAATATTATCGTTATATGTTATTATTATTACACGATGTTTTCAAACGTTTCCAACTGATAGAAATGAAATTTGGTACTAATTGTTTGTTACTTGCTGACTTGATGGCACCCAGCAATCAATCCGCATCTGGCATGTGGCTCCCCCGGAAGATAAGAAGATCCATGAATGGAAGTTCATGGCCACCTCACTGAAGTCCGTCAGTCATTACAAGAGGGACAACAAAGCCATGCTTCTCTATGTCTATGATAACTCGGATGATTTCCATATCTTCTTTCCTTCTGAAACTCATAAGCAGAGGTTTTTTGGCGTTGTTGTTGTCTCTGAATGTTTATTCAAATGTACACATACTTTTTAATTGTAATATATTTTGTTGGCATGCTGGTTTATTTCAGTTATTTACATTTGGTCTGAGTTTTTATAATTTGTTTATTTAGACTTTAATCTAATAATCATGAATATGTTTCACTTGGTAAAAAAAAATGTTTAGTTGTGCTTTTCTTATTGATGAACATTAAATCACGTTTCATAATTTTTTATTTGAAGATATTACGAACTAGTAGTAAAGATGATGGAGAGTGTTGGCAATCCAATAAATATGGAGTTGGACATGGAGGGAGAAATAAGATCAACTGGAATAAGAGTATGTTTATGTCTGTCTGCCTGCCCGTCTGTCTGTTTATCAATATTATACATATTTTTGCATGAAAACATTGATTCGTAAATAAATAAAAAAAGAAAAAAAGAGTACATCCATGCATTGATATATAAGCATTTCATAGTTTCTGTTTCATAATTCACTAAAATAATTTTTTTTAATTTATTTATTTTTTCTCATATGATTCTTTCACTCTATTGATCTATGTTTAAATGTAATATAATGAAGGCTGCTAATAAAAAAAAAATTTCGAGCAGGTAATAAAATAAAAAAGTTATAATATTCACTACTATATACTTTTTTTAGTACGAGTATGAGAAAGATAGCAGAGGTCAGAGGGTGAAGCTGGGTCAAGGTTCATACGGCTGCGTGTATGCTGCCAGGGACCTCGATACACAAGTTAAGATTGCCATCAAGGAAGTTCCAGAGGACAGCCAAGTGTATGTCTTTATGTTAACCTTCTTAGTAATTGCCTACTTTTTGTAATGTTTCGTGTTGGTGTTTATTTGGAGCACCGATGTTAACATGTTTGTGTAGATAGGAACTGCTTTTCCATGATTATTTTCAGCATGCGTCTAAATTTGTATAGATGTCATAGTAAACTCCAATTTATTTTCATAACTGAATCCGTTTATAGGCTCGGCTGGTAATAAAAAAAAAATCTGATTAGATTCTGTGGTTAACAATTCTCTTGGTTCTTTGTGATAGTTATTTATTTTGTAATTTAAACATTTGACTCTAATTAGATTGGCTCAGTAGTGAATTCTTTATATAGAATTTTTATTCATCGCTATCTATATCTTTACTTCAAAAACTTTAAGATGTAAAAAAAGACATGTTAAAAATCTATTTTCAACTAATCGTGTTTTTCCATATTCCACAACAATTCAGAGATTTTCAGATATTACACCAAGAAATCTCGTTGCACTCAAAGCTAACAAACCCTCACATCGTCAAGTACCTAGGATCACTGAGCGAGGATGGTTACTTCAAAATTTTCATGGAGCAAGTGCCTGGAGGTCTGTCTGTCTGTCTGTCTGTCTGTCTGTCTCTGTTCTGTATATTTATTAATTTTTTTTCTTTTGAATGATGTTTGCAGCTGTTTCGTTGTAACATCATTTTCCAACCGGTGGAGTGGAATTGAAAAATAAAAGTTATTAACGCATGTATTAAATAATTTGTTCCAGGGAGCTTATCAACTTTGTTGCGAGAGATATGGGGTCCTTTGAAGGACAATGAGAATACCATTATATTTTACACCAGGCAGATGGTCAAAGGATTGGAGTACCTGGTCTGTCTATTTATTTTCAAATCTCAGCAATGTTTTTCTCTCATATACATATATTTGTTTCTAAATATGTTTTTATGCTTCGTTGATTTGCTATCCTTTTTCCTTATATTAAATTTATTTATTTTCTTCATTATCAAATCATTTTCATTAATTTTTATGTTTCACAAATTGTTGCCGTAAGAATATTCTTAGTAATAATATCTTTGCTTGGTTTTTTTATTTTTATTTCTAACTATTTTTTTATTAAATATTAGGTTAAATTTCCAAATTTTTGAACTTACTGAAAATCCGATATAAACTGAAATTCAGCACAAGAATAAGATTGTACATAGAGACATCAAAGGCGACAACGTCCTCATAAATACATTCAACGGGAATCTTAAGATATCTGACTTTGGAACTTCTAAGAGATTGGCAGGCAAAAAAGCGGCTGGTACTTTTACAGGTCAGCTAGTACAAAATTAAAATTTTTACTTTTTAACCAAGTATCACTGTTCACTATTAATTAATTAATTAATTAATGACAAACTATTTTATATTTTTAAGCATTTAATCTTACTTAGATTTATTTGTGAATGATGATTTGAATTTACTAACATGAAAACTCAAGGTACAATGCAGTTCATGGCTCCAGAGGTCATTGATAAGGGTATGAGAGGTTATGGACAGCCTGTGAGTTTTAATTAATTTTTGTGTATTGTAATTTTTGCTACTTCAGTTCAATTTTTTTCTTTGTCTACCTTTGTTGTGTAGATTTCTTGAAACGATGTTTTGTCGTTTAATTTGGTTATTTGTATTTCTTGCACTGAAAAGTTTTGCCGGTTTATTTATTTTGATGTATGTTTAATGTTTGATGTTTGTTTGAAAGCGGGGTTGCGTGATACTAAGGCGAGTGACAGATGTGAATGGCGTCGAGGGGTATTTCGGTTTCATCATAGGTAGCCAAACGGCAACCCCTGATCTCGGGGAAAATGTCGTCAGCGGTACCTTTACGCTTCTATAATTGTTAATGAATTTAGAATTCATTTCGTAATTTAAAACGAACGAATGTCGTCTAAACGTGTGTTGTTGTTGTTTGTTTGTTTGTTTGTTTGATGTTTGTTTGATGTTTGTTTGATGTTTGTTTGTTTGTTGTACTTACTTTATACTTTGTACTTAACTCAGTTCATATTTCTAGCTGCTCTGCACTTTTTCGCGCAATTACCATGCATTTAAGTTTCTAACCAAATTCCGTGACGTTGATGGCAGGCTTTAGAGATGATGATTTCAATTACAACGTTCAATATAATGTTGGGTCTTGAATTAGTTTATCATTATCTATATTTGCAATTGTGAAATGATGAGTATGATGACGAAGGAGATGATGACGTTGGCACTTTTCAATTGATTTTTTAGAAAAATATGTTTGTTTGTTTTTTAAAATTCTATCGAGTTCCTTCGTTTGCACTTTATTGTTCTTTTTTTAATAGTCATAATTTTTCATAATTTTTTTTTATTTATTTAATATTTGAGTATTGACCTCTAATTTCATTTTATACTAAGAAATGTTTTATTCATTGATTTATTATTATTATTTCTTCTTATTATTATTATTAGTAGTAATACTAGTTTGGTATTATTATTGAGTTTTATTATTGAGCATCATTGTAGTAGTTCAAATTTGGTAATATTTTTGATGCCAGGCAGATATCTGGTCACTTGGTTGCACGATTATAGAAATGGCCACTGGGAAGTTACCATTCTTCGAGGTTAGACTCCATGACATGCATATTTATTATTGACCACCAGAACATACGCACACGTATGTAGTTGTTTATCATTTAGATTAATCTCACGCAACAGAGTGTTTGTGAAGTAGCAGAGGGTTTTTCAATTAAGAAATGTTTTAAATGTTTTTGTGTGCAGTTGGGTTGCCCACAAGCTGCCATGTTCAAGGTTGGCTACTACAAGATCCATCCTGAAATACCTGAGTGTCTGTCTGAAAACGCTAAGGATTTCCTGCTCAAGTTTGTATTGCCCTGTCTCTGGCACGCTACACCGATTTAATGTTGATGAATTCTTTGTTTAATATTTTAAATGTTACTTGATTGTCAGAAATGATTAATGAAAAGTATTGAATATTTGTTTGAAGATGTTTTGAACCAGTTCCAGACAAACGACCAACAGCATCTGAACTGCTTGAACATTCATTCTTAGCTGAGTTAGTTTTTTAAATTATAATTATTTCATCTTTTTCCTTTTGTTTCATTTGTTTGCATATTCATTTACTTATTCATAGCTAGATGGTTTATTTTATATTCTTTACTTTCAGATAATTAATTGTTTTGACCTCAGCTTAATTTTGTTTTCTTAGCATGTACTGATTCTCTTGCACGTTCAGCTGATCTTGAAATATAATAACTGATCCACAGACCTGAGTATTCACTTATGAACATGTTGAAGATTTTATGACCTGAGATTGTAATAATTGCTCTTAATTATAATAATTTCTTGCGACCACTCCTAAAAGTCAAGGACATTTTCAGTTTATAAGTGGTACATGGATGTAGTAATAATTTTCAGCCTCGAGTTGGTTGCGTTGCTTACATTTCACATTCTTCTGAGTCTTATGCTTAACTGCATCCAGAGCTGTTTGTTAGCATTTAATGGCCGGTCTTGTTTGTGATATTGATAAGTGCTTTGATGATTTGTAATTTTTTTTCAATTTGATTTTTCATTTATTAGGATGGTATAAATTACTTTCTCACTTCATCCGTCAATCATGGTTATGGTAGAATGCAGATGAATTACTGGTGTGATTATATATATTCATCTTTAAAAACAAATGAGTTGAAACTGAATGATAAAATTATTTGTTTGCTATTTATTTATTTGTTCATTTATATGCAATTGAATGCCTTGTTTAAAACTTGTCCACCCAACATTCGAATAAAGTTCAGAGAGGCCACGTGCTTATTCAGTTTCCAAATATGAAAGACGGTTTGTCCATCGGTCTAATTTTAAAATATTTTATCGTTAGTTTACTACATTAAAACACTAGCTACTATCTTCTAATCACATATCACTGAAAGACTAATTCTTAATGTTTTGAATTATTTCGGTCGAGTTACATCCATTCATATAAAAAGTCATTTTACTTTTGTTTCTATAAAAATATACAAATGAAGCTCAAATTTTGAGTTGATTGATAAAATGGAAATTGAAAATTGAAATTATTTCAAAAGGTTTTATTTATAATAAAAATATTTACACATTTGTTTAAAGCAAAATGGCTCTATTAAAGTATTTTAATTAATTAATCGATTTTTTCATATATATTAATTGAATTTTTTTTGTTTTTGCTTCTTCAATGATGTATGTTATATTCGAACAGTAATTTCCACTGCATGTTAATTTAACCTTTCACCTCAAAACAAGTGCGACTGTCCATGAATGGTAATGTGAACTTGATAATATTTGAATGTATGGTTTGATTACTCTCAAATGCTTAATCTGACTTACATGTTATTGTTTTTATTTTGTTTTGAATTTATTTATATCATTATTATTTTTGGAATTTGTAGGTATGGTGATATTTGTTATTAAATGCTTTTCTGATTATATTATTTATTTATTATTTTATTTATTTATTCTATTATAAATACAATCTATAATAACAGTTTACAACTGCCTAATATTTTAAACAGTATCTATCGAGTTAGTTACAATAATAAAAATAAGAATTGCTACCAATCATATTATTGAACAGTGCATTTGATTAGCATGTTAATGTGTGCCTTTTTTTATAAGACTAGCTGCCTATAACATAGTGTGAGCTGAAAACATTTCTTATGTGACGTGATGGCGTTGATTATACATCTAATGAAACTCGCCTGGGCACTAAATGGATTCACAGTACACAAATATACCATATGTATAATTATTATTTGTAAAATGCTGCTCTACTATTGTAGATGACAAAGATTGCAGTCTCAATACTATAATTTGAAGTTTACCAATTTTATATCTTAACTAGCATGATCAATTAAGTTGATTATGACTTCGCTTATGTAACAATTTCAGCGCACTCTTTTAATTTTTAATGTTTTAATTTAATTTTTTTAAATATCATGAAAATATACGTACAGGGAGCATGTTAAGAAGACTAACAAGGTGAAAGATGGAAGTGAATTTAACAGGAGTTTTTCTAGTTAGTTCATTCAATCTAGTCAGTTCTTTATTAATTAAACATCTGTCATTGTTTATTTAGTTTATTAATTTTTTTTTATTATTTTCATTTATCATTTTAATTAATATAACGCTGCTGTCTTCGCGTTATTTAAATATTAATAAGATTTAGCTCTAATTGAAAAGAAAATTTTCTGTAATATCTAACGATTTGAAGTTGAAATAAACTTATGAAATAACTTCAATGTTGCCATATTGACTACTGCATCACTGCACCACATTGACAGTGAACACAGTGGCCAGAGCAGCTGATGACAGTGTGTTGAGGTCTAAGTCATCCTCCAGTCACGAGAAAGCTGTTCTCAAGTTGAAGATTCCTGCCGACAGGTCCGTGTTTTAGGCAGTTTCCAATTTCATATCTTCTATCTTGCTAGATTTTATTGGTTATTTTTTTTTTAAATTTTCACATTCATTGTTGTTCATAGATTAACATGTTGATTTTTAATTCTCAATTATTGATTGATATAATGTTGGTGTAAAGGGTTACGAATAATATTTTGAGTTATTTTTTGACAAGGTAATTAGGTGATCTAATTTTTAGTCAACGTCATAATTATCAGTTTATGGCTCAATTTTTCAGGATCAAAGCAACCAGAAAAGTTTTATCAGAGCCTGGGTTAGCCTTCCTCCCCTTATCCTTCTTCCTCTGTCCCACTATATCAACGTTCATATTTCTGCAATATCCTTCTTGCTTTAATAAAGCTTATTTCTTACACGAATAACTAATTATGTTTCACTCTAGCAATCCTTATTTCTTCAGACGTTGGCACCTTTTTGGTTGCTTCCTCATAGATTAGAGCCATGGGTCACCGTTTCATTAATTCCATTTTTACCTTATTTAGCAATTAAATGGCATTTTAATGCACTCCCAAGTCTACAAATCGCTAGCACTTTCACCGAAGACACATCTCTTATGTTTTACTTTCACTATATTTTACCTTGATCATTCTTGAAATAATACAACACCCACTTTCCACTGATTTTTTTATTTTAGCTAATCCTATGACAAAGGATCGTTTTTATTATATTTCTATGTTCTTCTTCGTCATCTTGTCAATAGTTCTCACGATTGCACTATATATAAGCCTCTTTTCAACTTTTTTTTCTTTCTATAAAAATTGGTTGAAACACGTGATAGTGTCAGTTTTGCACTTTGAAGTCTGAACGTTAGAACTGAGTCAGTGGCAGCACGTGATGAGGTACACTTACTCAGTTGACCACCCTGCTGACCACTTTTAATGATTTCTAATGAATATAACCTCCAGCTGATGAGGGCTCAAATCTCAGTCCAAATAACTGTCTCCATTTTTAATCGTAAAGGCCGTTTTTAAAAAATTTCAAAAGACATTAGTCTAACTTGTTATGATTTTTGCCATATAATATACTTGATATTATAGATGCTCACCCAACTACCTATTATAAATAATTTTCAACTCTTTCTTTCCCACCCTATCCTCTGTTGAAAATAAGATCCATTGTATATACATTTCATACTTGTATAGGCACCTCAGATATGTTTATTAAACATATGGATTTCGTTATATTTTTCCGTTTGTTGTAGTAATTGTTTACGTTATTAGTTTAATTTTATTTTTCACAATTTTATTTTTATTTTATGAAAAATTTCTGTCCGTATGTATACTCTTTCCTTGCATTATTAACCTCTGTTTCACTTCCTTTAATTTGTTCATTTATTTCAATGATTCATTCATTAGGTTGCAGGTTCCCACTAGGTTTGCCTATTTTTTTGTCTTTTTCTTATCAAATTATAGCTTCAATTTGTTATTATTACGGATGGTTTTTATTTAATTAATTAATTACACATAGAGATAGCTCTGCTTGGAGTTGCGAATACCTCTGTACATAATTGATTTACTAAATTTTGGCTGTATATAATAATTTACTTTGAAATATTTTTGCTTGGTGTTCTACATCTACAACAGTAAAACAAAACAGAAAAAAATCTCAGTTGATCTGGTATATATTTTTTGCTTCTACTCTTTAAGATGAATGCAGATGAGTTTTGACTTAATAATCAGTTTTAACATGTGAAGATGTTATGCAGTGGTTCCTCATAACGATTCAAATTTGATTACATTATGATTTAGTTTTTAGATTTGACAATTTTCAGTGTGTTGTACATAAATTGTTTTGTTCATAAACTGGATGGATTTTTCTTGAGTCGAAGATTTTAAAATTACTTTTCAAAGCTCAGTTGAGTATTCTTATAAATATAGCTCATAAAAGTAAAAAATGTTGATCCAAACTGTGCATAGAGAGGTTTAAATTTTTTTCTCGTATTAACATATGGACGTAGTACTAGAACAATTACGTTATATTTTCAGGCAAGCCAAAGGAAATATTTTTCATCTGTTTTTCAAAAAAAATGTTTTTATTTAAATTTTTGTTTTTGACTTCAAGACATGACAAAAAATCGCGACCAAAATCTGAAGTGTGGACATCATCAGCGCTGGGAACTAGTTTTGATTATTCATTAGCGCATCCGACTATCTTTGAAAGTCCTAGGTGCTTCTAATTAAGACGTTAAGCACAGATGTGTTGGATAGTTTCATTTGATTTGGTCTATGATACTGTTTATGAGTTCTGATGCAACAAAACTGGAAAAATTTGGCTTTTTTTCGATATGCTAAAAAACATGATTTCAATATTTTATTACCAATTTTTTTTCTCTAGAGTTTTTGCTACAGAGTTTCACAGAAAGCGTTAAAATTTTCAATTTTGTGATTTCGTCTTTGTGTTGAATTGTTTAATTAATGATTAGTTTTATTTAGATTTTAAACGAAATAGATTTTCGATTTACTGCTAATTCAATCATCTGTTCTGACTGAATAATAGTTTTTATACCTAATAATGTATGCTGCTATGGGTTGCTTATCTACTTGTTTTGATGCATGCTATGTATGTAACCTGTCTTATGAGCCATCAATAAAACACACAAATCTATTGAAACACATAAAAATTCAACAAAATTTCCTTGTTTCATAGTTTTCAGATTTTTTTTTCGTATAAAATTCGGTTGGATGTGAGAACAAATGATTTGAAAGAAACTTATTCAAATTAATTTCACTAAACTTGAATACATAAGATGTAACATAATAATTAGGTGTATGTGGTTTAATGTCTTCTTTAATAAGGGTATGGGTAATTTATTTTGAAATAATTAAAAATCATGAAAAATTATTTTGAATCTTGTTATATTGTATCGTAATTTTTAAACTGGAACCTACTAAATTAATTTTTCATTATCGCAATCAGTCATATATATGTTCTAACATAATGTAAACATTTTCTGAAATAAAAATTGTAATTAGAACTTCAACTATTAAGTTTTTAGTTTTTGATAAAAAATTGCCAGGCAGAATAAAAAAATGCAACTCTTTCAACTTTTTTTGGATGATTTGATGAACGATCTCCAAAATTTCTGCTGTCCCATTGAAAAGTTCAATGAATGGTTCGTTTCTGTTGTAGTTTACTTTTTCAATGACAATGTCAAGTCAGCCTTCCAACTGTTTAAAGGGACTGTTTTATTGGAAATTAATAATTAGTACTTTATGTGTTATTTCAATAGTAGTTCCAAGTTTCCAGTTTACTTAAAGATATGAACAGATTCTAAAAAAAAAATTGAAATGGTTAAGAGTTGTAACAGGTTTTTTTTGTAGGTTTAAGCCATCTAGTATATTAATTGTAGAGCTATAAAATCATGTTCACTTAATGAGAGTTGAAATTTTTCATAGAAGATGTTAAACGAGCACTGTAATTTTTTGATTTATTTTATAATTTGAAAAAATCAGACCTTGAAGATAATGTTTTATAATAATTTTTCTTTACAAGCAATGAAATAAACGCTAACTTTTCTAAAGTTAACTAAATTTTTAGCATTATGACTATTCCTTTAAACTGTTCACCTTTTCCACATAATGTTTTGAAATTATTTCAGAAACATGTTTTATGGCTCATCAGACAGATTAGTGAATAAAATTTTAAACATATGCTTGTGAACTATTTGGCTTCTTGCATCCTATGACATTTGAATTTACTCATTCATTTTTTTCTCTATCAGCTTTTGGAAATATAAAATATAATTACAAATTTTTCTATTGGCGTGCAACTTTTCCTAATGTTTTCAGATGGCTGGTAAAGTTATTCATATTGAATTCATACATATATTTTAAAAACAATTTTTTCTATTATTCATGTTTAATTTGTAATTTTTCTGCTCACTGAATGAACCGGCGTTGTTTTAATTATTATTTTTAGTAGATAATTACATTCAAGTAATTATTTAAGGCTCTATAAACTCTTTCAGCGTGTTTTTTATATGGCAAGAATCGTTATAGACGCATTACATGGTATTAGCGAAATTTCATTTTCAGTCAACAGAAAGCTCACTCATTATTGTATGAAATTATGTAGTTCATTCAGGCATGCACCATTCATTAACAGCCACGTAAACATTACATCTCATTGTACGTTCATGCATTCCTGCAGTGAGTACACTAGTAGCATACCGAACTCTTCCCCATCTCCCATTCCCGATTACACACTGATCCCAGACACCGCTGGCGTCAGGGAGGGAGGGTTCAGTCTGACCAAAAAAGATTCTGAGAGAAGGACGACTCTTGTCAATTTGCTAAATGAAGATAAGGAGCAGGTAATTTTTTAGTTTTTGTGTATTTTGTACTTTGATTCTTATATGCAAAACCTTCCCTCTTTAATGCTTACCACATGGAATGTTCTTCGTGTGTTGTTAGTTATTAATTTATATGAAGTTGTTAAAGCTGTGTTTTTAATTTTTTTTACAAAAGTCACTAATTTTTTTAATATTTTCATTTAAAATTATTTCATTTTATTCTACTTAGAGGATTGTTTGTTTAAAAACATTTATGTTGTTTATTCAAGATATGTGAGAGGTGGTTGAACACAGTTTCAAAAGAGGCTAACACTTCAATTCACAGAGTGAACAAGGTTTTTATTTTACAAAACAGTTGACACGTTTCTTAGTTGCTTCCCTTCAATTAACGTGAAATTTTCTCATAAATTTGATAATCAGCAATCAGCTCATATTGATTAATTGATAAGTTGATGATTAATTGGCACACAGAAACATTTGTCCGGGCTTATCTCAGGTTTTCAAGACTTCTTCAATGACCACACTGTTAAAACTCTCAAATCAGTCATAGGTGGGCTAATTTGGTACCATGCGCTTCTATGAACATTGAACAAAGATTTTTAATAATTTACACGTTCTAATATTTGTTAAGGTTATTTAAATTCTAATCCTACTGGGATACGATTCTTTGAAAAGTTTTTGAAAATTGATATTACAATTCAAATTACATATTACTATTGTTGTAATTGCAAAACTATCTAATCATCTTTTTTTGTCATACTAGAATTTAGATTAAAAAAAAACCTCAATTTAATAATCTCTTAGTGTTAATTTCAAATGTTTAGCTTCCTGTTATTGATTTCGTAGATTCCTTCAGTGAGGAGGTCGGTTACGACACAATAGCCATTGATGAGTTGAAACTTGCCATCTACCTCTTCCAACAATGTGTAAGCTTCATTTATGATTATATATTTATATAGGTGTATATCGAATTTATAAATCTTTTGCATAGTTTTTGTCGCTCAGTTTTCATAAATTTATACACCCTTCATTTCACGGAACAATGTAGGTTGGAGAGGTGTTGAAACAGAGGAAGATACCTCCTCATTGGATGTTTCATCTTGACGACCTTCTAAGAAGTGCAGTTCAAAGTGCAATAACTGTTTTGTCTCCAGGTTGCAATCTTCCTTATAACTTTTTTGTTTCTATTAATTGTTTGATATTTTTGTGCTTTTGTCGGTGTGTGGCTAGTTGAATGAAATCTGCTCTCTCTCTCTGGCTATGATTTTCACTTGTGTGTCATTTGATGAGTGTGTATGTAGTTATTTTTTTGTATTGCAACTGTTTAATTCATTTTTAAGGATAATTTATTTTTAGAACTCTTGCCAAATTACAATGAAGAAAGTTTAGATTCAGGGAAAGTTACCAAGTCTACTTCTGGTGTGTTATAGTTTTTTTATTTCAAATAATTTTTGTTTTATCTAATTTTTGCTATTAATAGTAACAAATCTTGTTACTAATGTGCACGACATCCAGGTTTTCCCGACCTGCAGGAAGAAGTTCTTACATCAGCAACCTCCACTACGGACTCTAACAAGTCTCCATTACTGGTCAGTCGAAGGAACGACAGCAGCCAACAACTCTACAGTCAGCTCTGCCAACTGGAAGAGGAGAATAAGCGGTGGGTGCACTTATCAACCAAAATACGCTGACCTTGACTCTTACTTGTCTATCTTCCGACAATATTTGGATTGATAAGTATCTAGGCCTGGAAGATGCAAAATAAATAATATGCAATATTGCATGTACAGTACATATATATTTATAAACATATGCATATGTCTGTATGAGTATTTGTGTGCCTGTAGGTGTGTGTTTGTGTCATTATATTATGTGTGTATATGTATTTAACTCATCTTTGATAGTTTGCTGGCAAAGTTGATTGAGTGCCAACAAACGTATCAGTCAGTTCTTAAGTCAGCATTGGAACAAGGAACATCTAACATTAACATCATCAGGTTTTTATTTTATTATCAATTTTGGTTTTTAATATTAAAAAAAATTATTATCAGTTGTAACTTTTATTATGTTTGCTTGGATTTGTTACTGATTGATTTTTAAAAACAGAGATGGTATGATCGTGAAAAATATGTTATCGGAAGCTACTCCATCTGCCTCCAACAACAGAAGTGACGTTAGCAGCAGCAACAGCAGCCTCGTTTCAAGCTGCTTTCTTACTCCACCAACCGCAGGTTTCATTTTCATGTTCCTCCTACACTTTGTTTGATTTATTTGATAAAATATTTTTTTCCATAGTTATTTCAAAACTAAATTTCAAGATTTGAACATGCGTCATTTTTGTTTTCTGAACGGTTTATTTCTTCTTCAACCAGATACACCGAAAAATACTGATCTGAGTAAATGGCTGAAGGAGATAGGTCTAGATGAGTCATCCATACAAAAGGTTCATGTAGTCCGCTTGACTTCATATGTGCTATTGAGGAAAAAACACCATTTCAATTTAATTTTTAATTTATGTTTTTTAAATTAAAATTTTTCCGGTGTTTTTGTCTAATAGATAGATTTCTTAATAACAATATTTTCAATGAATCTTACTTAGATTGCCGGTGAAGAATTTACGAAGAAGCAGCTGCTTGAAAACGTGACAAGGGAAGATCTCAGAAGACTCAACCTGAAGTTGTTAATTCATGTTCATTAATCATTTTGTTACACATCAATTGTTATACACACATACATCAGTCTATTTTCATGATTAGCTATCAAATTTGATGTATAAATGCTGGAAAGGGATTGAGTTTAAAATATTATTTGGTAAGATTGTTGTCAAAAATATTCTCAATGCCTTAAAATGATTTTATTTTAAATAAACTGTATTAATTTGTGACTTAAAAAGGATTTAATAAATCATAAATTATAGAGGGGGCATGTTCTGCAGGTTGTGGGAAGTCATCCATCGACATCGCTATCCTCTTTGATTGCTGGATAAGTAGGCTGGTTGTTGAATGCAGAGTTTTCACTTGGTAGTTACGCTGCTACATGTGACATCTGTATGCATCGTTTATCTAAAATTTGTTACATCGCAATCGTAGATCGACGTATTAATTAATGTTTAGAATAACAAATTTTTCATAAAAATCCTGAATATTATGTATATATTTGAAAATGAATGTATAAATGTATCTTCTTAAAATACTAAACTTTTTTTAAAAGTTGTTTCAATATTACGACGCATTTGTCCATTGTGAGAAGCAAGTAGATAAAACAGAAAAGTTGACACGTCCACGCATTGTTTAGATATTTGTAATTTGTAGTGTACAGATATATACGTGTAATGTTCTATTTATATTTGTATATAGATATATATCAAATTTATTTGATTAGGTAATATAATTGGATCCCAAATTTATTTAAAACTCATGGTTGAATTTCAATACAAATCATATATATTATTTCTAGTGCATCTTTTTAGGTATGCGTAGGTATGCCTGTTCGAAATACTTGAAATTCCGACGTTTCATCACGTAGCCTGTTTGCTAATATTTCAAAAAGTTTTCTTTTATAGAAATTATTATATAGCATTTGTTTCCTACGTTAAATCATGGTTGGTTGTTTTTTTGTCTAGTTTTATCTGGCAAGACGATTTATTTGATTTATGGTTAGTAACCACGAGAGAGATTTACCTTTGTTGACAATTCAAATACCTCTGTGGTTATTCGTTTCTGGAATTTTTACATTTCAGTTAGACCATGTGACAAATATACATATTTGTAATTAAATGTTGAAAATGTTAAAAAATAAATAGATCCATTTCAACTTTCTGTTTACTAACAAGCAAATATTGAGCGAATCTAGTTTATGATGCTAGCTTTCTTAGTCTAAAGAATGACTGGCGGTTTGTTTATCCGATCATCAATTTTATTGCACTTATTTAATTACCGTACTTAATTGAAGTTAGAATTTAATTTATTTTTATAACGCATCGTGTTATATATATAAATTTACAATGAAATTTGTTTAAACCTACGTCTTCTAACTTTATTCACTTTTCTTTCAAAGAATTTTTTATGTGAAGTTTTTTTAATGATTTGAAGGTTTTATAAATTTTTGAAGTTTTTAATATGTAAATTTCATCATTTGTTACGAATTACTACATTTCTCCTTCAACTGTTGCCTTGGTTCATGTACTACGCACTTCTATTCTCATTCGAATGCACTATGCCACATTGGCAGACACTTCTAATTATTTTTTGTTTTGGTATGCTATGCTGGTGCGTGCCATTCATTTTATTTATTTTTAGTTCATCCAATTAACTCATTCGGTGAATTGAACTCATGATAAGAGGATCCAATTTTTCTGCATTGCTCATTATGGGTTTTTTTTATTACAAGTTAATTAAAAATCTTTTTGGCTTGATTTGGTGATTTTATTTCATCTTATATTTCTTTTATAAACTTTAAAGTTTTGTAAATGCAGAGCTATGATACAGAACCTGCAGATAGTCAGTGTATTTCATAAATGATAACATAATTACTATCTATAGGACTCGAGTTGTTGTACTCATTTTATTAAGTCGTGTTTCAACTTTTGTAAATATCGGCCAAGTCTCATACACACTCGATTTATTGCACTATTTTCTTCATTCTGAATTGTTCTTGCTACCCATTTGTAATAGTTTTTGTAAAGTTTAATACTTATAAATTGACAAAAAAATATTGTAAGCTTCTTACTTGTACAGTACATGCATGCACGCGCTCTCATACTACTACACAGTAAGTACACGAACAATTAAGTAGCAACGGGAATGTGACTAAATTTATTAACTTTGCTCTTTTTTCTAGCCAGATGAGATTAATTATGTTCGATCATTTTTACATCATGTTTTCTTTCTTTTAATTGAATCCATGATCGAAGTTATACGACCCTGTTTGCTTTCTCATTTGAATAATCGAAAATCCAAACAAAATCATTCAATATATTGCTTAATAACGTATTAATAAATCGTATAGAAATTTTGTGTTTTGAGCCGTTTAAAATAGCATAATTGGAAAGGTGCTGTAACAAAATTTTTGATTTTTAAAATCGTACCTAACACGTTGTACATACTGGTAAAAAAAAGTGTCAGTAATAAAAGCATCATACATCAAAATTTCAATTATAAAACGTGTAGATGAATAAAAGACACTGAAACTAGAATAAATGAAACAAAAAGTAAACAAAAAAAAAATATATATATGTATCAACAACATTTAAAGTATGAATAAAAATTTGAATACATCATGACTAGAAACAAGGAATGTTTGAAGAAACAAAATAAATACAAATATCAATAACGGGAAATAAACAAAATAAATACAAATAACGGGAAAACCAAGGTTTGAGAACATAGTATCAATTAGCGAACATTCAATCATTCATCTTTCTTTTGAATATCCAATCACAATATATCTTTCTTCTGAATATCGAATCACAATTCATCTTTCTTATGAATCCTCTCGTGCCACTCATCATGTGTTTCCTTCTCTCCAAACTTCTTAACAGTTTTGCGATTGAGGATGAGGTCCGCTGCTTTTTCTGCTATCATTATTACAGCTGCATTGATATCTCCTAGAAGTAAAAATATTTTATCGAAAAATTTTAAATGTCAATTAACGTGAAACAACAAAAGTTTTCTGAAATTGCGATAATTACATACAAAAGATACGAATATATGATACCTGATATGATATTCGGGATGACAGAGGCATCAACAACTCTTAACTTTTTCACACCTCTGACTCTGATATTAATTAACTAATTAATAATCGGATGAAAATATAAAAAAAGCTTTGGGAAGGGACGATAAATAAAAATTAAAAAATCGTGAAACGAACCTCAACTGATCATCAACGACAGCACCGATATCTCCAGCAGCACCCATCTTACATGTTCCAACTCCGTGATGCATGGACATTGTGTTGTGTCGAATGAAACAACTCCAGTATTCGTCACTTCCATCTTCGTGCTGTTCACAAAATGGATGCCTTCTCGATGATCTTTCTGCACCTATCGTTTTCATTTCCTTTGTTGACACTATTCTTTCAGATAATCTAATGCCTGGTTTGTTCAATGAATAGCAATGTCACAATCACATTACGCTAACAGTTTACTAATGAGAGTTCTTGATACTTGATTGAACGTTCACTGGAAAGCGACAACCAACAAACCTTCTAAAAGAATTTGAACATCTTGATCTTCTGACAAATAGTTTGGGTCAATTATTGGTTTGTCATAAGGATTGGAAGAGTTGAGAGTTACTGAGCCTCGACTTCTTGGGTGAAGAAGAATGGGGTAGAGAGTGAAACCTTCATTGTACATCATGTCACCAAATAAACTGGTGAACACCTAGCTCAAAGGAATCAACGACACAGTTTTTGAAAAACTTTTAAAAATATTACAATGTGAGGTGAAAATTGGTTATTATAGACATATGCTTTAAAGCTATCATAACGCTTGTGTTGTCTTGTCATTGCTCAAATGAAGATTTCATTTCTTAATGTAAAATCATTGTGTTGCATCTACATTGTACTGTTTTTATTACTTCACACCTTGCTTACAACGTTTTTGATAAACTATCTCCCAAGTTCTTTTGTTTTTGTCCATCATCAGAACTTTAGGACTTTCTCTAAGTATTAATTATTAAGAATTTTTTAAAGTAAATAAACTTTCCTAATAACTAATTTTGATTTCAGTGAGATAACTTATTTCCAGACTTTGCAAAATCAATCAATTGATCAATAACTCATGAAAAATTTATAATCACAAAAGCAAAATGACCAACATTTAATTTTATTTTTACTAAAATGAAAATATGAAAGATTGACCACAAAGAACCTTATTGTTCATGTTTAATCTGCTTTTTATCGCAGTCAGCCTCTCTTCAGACATAACAGTGCCTAACATTGAGTTGAAAAGATGAACTTGTATGAAGGGATATGTAATGTTGGAAGGTTGAATGGCACTTGTGAAGAATCCAGTGGCTTCATAACCCGATGTTGTTAGAACACCTGCACGTTGTGTGTTTTGTAAATCAGTCGGTGGAGATTCACAGTAAACAATTAACAAATGGAAAGCTGTGCAAATTATACTTAACCATTTTTTGGTTATTACTAATATGAACTAAATGTTTTGAACTTTTATGTTTCAGACATAAATCTACTTTTCAAACCTTTCCCAAAAATAAGGTAATCAAAAAGTACAGAAAGAGATTTTGTTTTTTTGTCAGTGGTGGCTATCTTGTTCTTGATGGTGAACTCTAAACCGAGGACAGTCACATGATCCTGTAGGTTCCTTCCAACTGGCAAATCCATGATGACTGGAATCTGTTTGCCAAGCAAAAACAAACAATTTATCATCGTGAATGCAATGCAAAACCAATTGCAACAAGAGTATGTCATCTGAGATAATGAAATGCAGAATCAATTTTTAAAAGGGTATGTCATCACAGGATTTTCAATTTGTTTAATACAGGGGTAATAAATTTCTCTAGCAACAAAAAAATTTTTTTTATCAGAGATTTTTAAATAAAATAAAATATAACATTTATAAAAATGAAATATTCTTACATCAAATTTCTTGAGATGTTTTTGAGGACCAATTCCTGAAAGCATGAGTATATGTGGTGAACCAATAACTCCGGCACTCAATATTACTTCTTTGATGGCTCTTACTTGCCTGATGGTTTTATTCCAAAATAATTCAATACCTACAGCTTGATTGCCTTTAAATAAAACCTGTGGTGTTGTTCAAAGAAAGTTTTATTCAACAGAAAATAATTTGTTCATAAAAAAGATAATAAAAATTAACAAAAAGTAGATAATTATCTGCTAAAATAAAACACATAAAAACAGCTTGTAAAAAATGTACAAAAACATGAAGATTTTTTTAAAAAACTGTCCTGCTACTGAAACAAAATGAATTATAGATAGCAAACACAGTTTAGGCAAACCAAGAGAAGAATTAACAAAATCGAACCTTTCTGACATAGGCATGCGTAGCAACATGCAAATTGTCCCTGTTCATAGATGGGTATAAGTAGGCATTCAACACTCCTTCTCTTTTACCCCAAGATGTCAAACCCTGAATTAAACTGACTCCTATCTCAAAACATTTTATATAACTATATGAATAAAATAGTAATAATATAATAAAATCTTAAAGCAGGTATGAAACAGAAGCCAAATCATACCTAGTTGTTTTGGTCCATTGACATCCAATCTATCATATTTCATCTCTTTTGCAGCCATTATAAACTTTTCTGAGAGCAGAGTTGATGACATGTCAGAGACTGACAAGGGTCCCTGACTACCATGGTAATCTGCAAATGCATTCATAGTTTAAACATTAAGAAAAAAAAAATCTACGTTAACAAAAGTTTCCAGCGGTGAATTTTTTCAAAATAATGAATAAAAGTTCCGAATTATAATAAACAACAAACAACAACACACGTTTAGACGACATTTTCCCCGAGATCGGGGCTTGCCGTTTAGTTACCTATGATGAAACCAAATGTCATCATAAATATTTTATTGGCTAATTTTTACGCAGGACGCCCTTCCTTACGCAACCACAATTATAAGCGGCGGGCCTAGCCTTTGATGATCCAACATCACTCACAAGGCAGTGAGGGTCAGTTTAATGTCATAACCAGGACATAGAATTATAATAAACTTTAAAATTATTATTTAAGAAATTAGTGAGCAAAACTAACCAGATTGTTTGTAATACATGTTTTTATTGTTTTCAGCTTTGATGAAATAGGGCAGCACATCTTCGTAACTCCACCCACTGCACCCATTTAACGCCCACTCATCATAATCTCTCGGATTACCTCGAATGTAAATCATGTGGTTGAATCCATCCGTGCCACCCAACATACGACCTTGAGGCCAATTTATTTGCTAGAAAACAAACCAACGTAAAAAATAAAGTGAAAAAAATAAGAATTTGATATTGAGATTATATAAGAAATAAAAAGCATACATACATTGTTAATAAAACTTTTGCAGGCATATTTTTGAGGTTCAATCTTATAATTCCAATCCATAAAAGTACCGTGGTGCTCGGAAGACATGGCTGGAATATCTAGAACATTTTTTGAGTGGTGCTCACTGCCTGCCTCCAACAACAAAACTTTCACATTCTCATTTTCTGACATTCGATTTGCCAACACTGATCCTGCTGAACCTGCACCGACTAACATGTAATAAATTTATTATTGTCTTTCATTTTATAGCATAAAATTTAAAATGTATTTATTGTTAGTGTTGGGTATTAGTTAGTATTGGACCACTTGTATAGTAAGATAGCATACAATACTAATATAGTAGAGTGGACTGTTAATTAAAAAGGGTAACATAATTACTTAACTGCACAGACATTGTATGTCACACAGTGTACTGTAATGTACTTGTACTAGGTGTACTGTGTTTATGTTATATATGTATAGGTATACTATACAAGTAAAATGAAAAAATTATTAATTAAAATATTATAAATTTAATATTTAATATGATCTTTCAATATAAAAAAAATATATACTTAATCATTTATTTATTATAATGATTATCTAAATAATCAATAAACTAATTATTAATTATAATTAATCAATCTAAGTTAAATTTATTAATATTTTCATAAATTATAAATAAAAAAATTAAAAAAGTGAACTACTTCTATTTTTTTATTAAATAATAATTTAAACTTTAAAAATACATATAAAAACGAAGCATACCAATAATGTAATCATACGCATACGATATATCACTTTTCACCAGAGAATGATAAGGTAAATTCTGCCATATTATTGATCCGAACGCAAATATGATCGTGATGAACAGCAAAATATGTGCAAACATCTTTTTGACCCGAAAGAACGAGAGTGAACATTCAAACGTGAATAAAACATGACCCATATAAAACAAAGATGTGAAAAAAGAAACGGCATAAAGTAAAAATTGCAATGGGAAGAATGTGATCGGACAAAATTAGCATAAGATACCATGAATGATTTATATTAGGGCACATTTCAAGATTTTGTTCATCAAATTGGTTAATAAAATTAGTTATTGTCAAATTTTGTAAAAAATTTTAATATTCAATCAATCATAAAACTGCAAGGAATGAATTGCAAATACTATTATTATTACCGCTAGTAATAGACTAATACTACCAAGGTATTGGTAGCGGTATGAAGTTCTCACTGGCAAGAAGACAAAGAAGTGTTGGAAAAAGTTCAAAGACGGGCAACCCGGATTTTTAACAAATGTGACAGACTTTCATATGAGAAAATGATATGGACTGACAACTTTGGATAAACGTAGGACTATAGGGTATCTTATTCAGGCGTTCAAAATCATAACAGGTAAAGATGAGATAAATTCATCCCTATTCTTCCAATTTACATAAAGTAGAAACACAAGAGGAGGGCATCAGTATAAGCTTTTCAAAGAAAGGGTAGAAAGGAACAATAAAAAGATGATTTTTCAGTTTGAGAGTTATTGAACATTGGAATAAGCTGGACGAAAATCTGTAACAGAATCTACAAGCAGGAGTTTAAAGTCAGACTTAGATGATTGGGATTTTAAATCTACATTATTGGTCAAAATAAATCCAGTGGTTCTCAACTGAACAACTATAATTCTTGTTATGTTATAATTAGAAAAAATTATTTCTAATAGGTATAAAGCGTTATAACGATAAAATTTTACTTCTAATAAAACTCTGAAACATTGTATAAAATTTATGACAGAAGTCACTTTCTCTCATAGAATTTGCTTAGATGTTGTACCAAATAAAACTGTTATACTACTAATATTTGATGCAAATGACACGGTATGATTGAGTAGTGTCAATTGAAACACCACTAGTAAAACTCAAGAACTAGTATATTGATTCGAATGTTGCGCTGATGTACTGAATTAAGCTGGTAGTTATTTATTAGATTTTTCGTAGTACATATTCTCCTGAACATGATATTGTATAACTTGGTAATGGAAATCGGAATCGAGCGAAGTTTTTATAATGTATAGCCAATGAAGCACTAAAGTTCGAATATTTTGGAATAAGGCCCTGTGTAGTGAATTAAACTTGTAACTTTTTTTTACAACATTCGTTGTACTCAGGCTACTCAATCTCCTGAGTATGACTATATTCATGTAGTATTAATTTTCCTTAGCATGAAAATGTATAACTTGGTAATGGAAATATCAACGTTTTTATACATAACTTGAATCGAGCGAATAGTTTTCATTATGTTTTACTGATGAAGCACTATATTTTGACCTGTCTAAAGTCAATGGACGTCATAAACTCCAAATAGAACACAATTAATGCTAAATGTCATTAAAATTATTTTTATTTTTCCAACATAGATTAAAACTGAAGTTCGTTAATTTACGTTTACCTTTTCTCTAAGGTTGTTTTTCAGACATCAGGTGCAAGACGGCCGCCAGAATTTTATTAATCCGGTGGCAAGCATGTAATTGAAAATTAGGTAAGATGTAAAAGTATGAAGAAAGCTTTCAAATTGGAGCATAATTTTTCTCTCCGCAACATGGCTAAATCGGATTAAACACGCTCTTATTCCACAAATTAGAACACAAGAACAAAAAACAGTAATTTTTATCTTTTTAAATGATAATAATAATAAGTTAAATTAGATTAATTAAATTAGTTAAATTAGTTAAATTCATAAACACTAAAACAGTTAATACTCAGTTCTTAGTAATCCGTTTTTCTGTTTATGACTGCTAAAACGGCCGAGCGCATTTCAGTATTTTGAAACAATGCTCTTATTAAACTATCCATTTCTTCTTTTGTGAATGCATCAGCCAGCGGTCCTTTGCCAGCTGCCCATCTGTCTCTGATTTCCATCAACCTGGCATTCAAAACAAATTTTAGTTCTTTCAATTTAATCCAAAATTCGATGTGTTGTTGTAGTTTAACTTCCAAAAATTGAATTGGTAAGCTGTCGTTAGATGGCAAACCAATGGATGATATTAAATCAATGCCGTCTTTTTCGATAACCGAAGTCAAATCAGTTAACTTTTGAGCATCAAATTCTGAAATGTCTTCGAGTTTGGTTATTCCATTTACCACTTCTTCCAGAGAGGTGTTGAATAATGACCCTGTAAAAAATAATATATAATAACCGTCACTCTTCAGTTAACATTTATAATCAAAATAAGAAAATAACGTATAAAAACAGTTTAAACTGTCATAAACCATAACACATTGTAACCATAACAAAATAGTCTTTTAAGAATTTTCTGCAAATTTTAACATCCTACATATTTTTGAAAGTCCTAACAAAAAATAGAGAGAAACCGTAAAAAACAAAATCACTTTCAGTACCAGTTAATAATTTTCATCAAAAGAAATTGTAATTCAACACAAAATATGGCTTGAGTGCATTGATACATTATATGTTGATTTGAAAAAATTTGCAAAGAATAGTGTAGTGTAAATCTCAACTAAAAATAATATACAAAGCAATTTGTAATTAACGTATAAGAGCAGATATATCTGACCAATTGATTTATGAAGAAGAGATGGTGGTAACACGCCATTCCAAGCTATCTGCAGATGTTGTAATTCTAACGACACTTTTCTCCAACTTTTAAGTGTGGTTTCATAGTGTTCACTCATGCCGTCAAAGCCTAGAAAATCGTTTAATTAAATAACTTATTAGCACTAATTATGTTCACTGATATCAATTTTATTAACAATTTTTAATTTCGGTAAAGAAACAATTAAAAAAAGATTGCTATGTACCAAAGTCTGATTTCAAATTCTGCAAAATATTAGCTTTCTGTTGTTGTAATAATGAGAGGAAGTGATCAACAGCCAGTCTCTGGAGCTCCTCAACATAATCAACAGGCTGTCTCAATATGTTCCTTGTCTTTATTTGGAAGCTCATCAGTTTGTGGGCCATGTACATGCAGTTGTTGTGATGCAAAGCTTCATGTTATAAAAAATATTTAGTATTTAACAATAATTGTAGTGATTTTTTGAAGAAACGATTGCGGCGACTAAATTTAATTCATTTTATTTTTTAAATGTTAAAAAAGGTTGCATGGGAGGGAAATGAAAAAAAAAAAAATAAATCGAATGCAATAAAAACCGACCAGCAATAAATGGCAAAGTTTGAATTGAATGGCCATGGAACATAGGTACAACGTTAATGTAAAGCTGGATAACACCACGAATGCATTTATACAACTGCATGTAATTCGCATCATTTAATTGGCTGGTGCTCGTTATATCATCCACCAGATCTTCAACATTTTGCCACAGTGTCACAATACTTTTACTATTAATTTATTTTTTAAATTATTTTTTAGAATAATTTCATTTATAAATATATTGATCTGAAACAAAAAAAACATATAATTAAAAGAAAATTTATAAGATAATAGTATACAAACACAATATATTGTAAAATAACGAAATTATTAACACCTTGCTACTCATCCTTAACTCAAAAACTCAACGCTAGTATGCAATAAATTTCTCAAAGTTTTTCTTGGTTGCGATCAATTCGTAATTAATTAGTAATTAGGAGGTGTGCATTAGACATACAAAAAATTAAAAAATATTAGACATAACAGCATCCAAATATTGCACAAGTCACGAGATTTGGCCCAAAATGATTTCAAAGAAATGTAAAAAAAATGTTTATTTAGCTGAAATTAAACATTGAAGTTTTTGAATTACCGTGAATCTTTGGAAAATCCAATTTTACATGCAAAACATTTTATTACAACACATAACAAATTAAAGATACAGTTTGTAAAATCTTTTGACCAAATGGTGGATGATTCATAATAAAAAATTAAGCATAAACCAATACCTTATTTGGCATTGAGGAAATAGAAACATTGGTTGGAGGTCTGAATGAAAATCTTCATCAACACAAGAGGCATAATCCATGACACCATCATGATTGACATCTTCACATCCGACAGCAATGCAATCAAGCAAAGGACTCTTCAATAAGGATCGTGATGATGAAAGTAAATTCAAACATTTGTGGGCTACGTATGCCGTCTCTGCATTTCCTAACAAATCATTCACTTCACTGTCATCGACTGCAAGTAAATAATTCGATCACATTAAGAAAGTTTATAAATAACAATTTTTGTAAAATAAAACAATAAATATTCAGTTTTTGATCTAAAGTTTCAAGCTTATCAAAATCAGAGTAACATATTGAAATATTCTAACCTTGCACCAAACAAAACTTTTCAGCTGTTTTTTGACAATTTTTGGCCAGTGAAACAATATTGCTGTATTTTTCAATTTTTTCTTTTGAAGATGGTGCCGACTTATCAATGACCTCCTTAGCCAACATTCTAAACAGATCTAAACTGAATTTATTCTTTATCCCATCTCTGAGAATCTTTTTGAAGTTTTCATCTTTTACATTTTTGAATGCAAGTTTACCACCAAGGAAGTTTAAAATTTGGTTAATGCTGCCTAGAATATTTTCGTACTGCAAAATTTGTATGTGCTGTCCATGTTTCACATTTTCATATTTTTCCTTAACTTTTATTGAATTTTCATCGAAAGAGCACACAGCAGAGTGATTATGAATAAAAGGTACAATAATTTTCGTTAATAAATTTTTTGAAAATCTGAACAGAAACTCATCCAATGTATTCAAATAGTTCATGGCCTCCAGCACATCAAACCATATTTCTTCATCTTTCTAATTAAAAAAAATGTTTTCTAAATTTTAATAAATATGTAAAAAGATAATAGAATCTTTAAAAGCCATATTGAGTTGGGATAAGCTAGCTCAGTTTCATACTATATGTAATGTATAGAAAGATCATTTTTAAAAGCTAAATTTATTTAAAAATTTTTTCAAAATATCATTTCAGGAAAAAAGAAAATTTACATTTTCAAATATCAGTTGGGTGTAATGGAAATCTTTTTCATCATATGAAATCCATTTGATCAGATCTGATGTAATCTACATTTGCATTTAGTTGATTATATGATTATACAATTAAATTCAGTGATCACTGAGATGAAATTAGAAACAATTTAAAAAGATAACATAAAAAATGATAAATTAATCAAATCTAAAAAAAATTGGTTGATTTGAAAAAGTCATTAAAGACATAAAATTTCAACAAATAAAAATGAACAGAGCAATTGCCATAATAAACCTCTATTGTCACACTTAACTAATGATAAATAAAAAAAATATTTTTCTTACATCATCAATCTTGCAAGTTAGATTTGTTTTCTGTTGGTTGCAAGAAGAAGTTAAAGCGTAAAATATTTTACAATTTCTCAAATCGTGCTCATTGTATTCAGCATACTTCATTTCTGAAAATTGGTGATAAAAATATGAAAATTAATAAAACAAATATTCAAAACTATATGCTATAACTAACACCTTGAAACTGTTCAATTAGAATAGCAGTTTCATGAAACTTCCTTTCACTGAACTTGACTTTAATGTCTTCTAAGGTAAAAAATAATTTTTTCAAATGGTTCAATAGTTTCTGAATCTTTTTAATTTTTTCCAGTTTGAAAGAATATGTTTCTTGGTTACTTTCTGAAAGCTCTTTTAAATGCACAACCTAAAAAAAAAGTCAATGAAATAATATAACATTGAAAAAAATTTAATAAAGTGATTGTATAATTTTAAAAAAATTTACTTATTTTTTCCATATTATCAGCATTGGATTATCTAAAAAAAAGCTATTTAGCAATAAATTTTATAGAGTAACTAATCAAATAAATTTAATTTACTAAATAAATAACAACACATTCAACATAAAATTAAATACTCAAATACTTAATAAATTGATATGAAATCAATTAAAAGTTATACTATCAAAACTAATTATATGTTAGTAATTGTTACTACTAGACAAGCTCTGTAAATTAAATAACATGTAGGCAAGCTCTTAACATAGAACTTCAGCAGTAGGAGTAGGTAGAGCCTTGAAGATTACATTACATGACATACATACAGTAATTACTAATTAGTAATAATAACAGTTAATAAAATAAGTTATTTTATTAACTGTTATTAAGTGTTTAACCTTAAACAATAACCAATTTAACATACAAGTGGCAGAATATAGCATATTACTATTATACTACTGTATTATTTATTAGACCAGACAAGAATCTAGTTTAATTTAAATATTAAAACAGTTTTAATAAAACTAGACTTAACACTAGACAAGACAATACAACATACAAAAACTTGCTTGAAGCACCTGTTTATTAAGTTTGTTTGCTACATCTTCTGACTTATCAGCAAGTGTCTGAATCGTTCTTTCTAAGCATTCTGTCTCAGAGAAGAGTTTGCAATTTCTGTTGATTTTATCCTTTAGATCTTCTTGGTGAGAATTTTTGCACTCCGCTAATTTTTTGGACAGACGTTCAACTTTGCTGCCCACATCGGCTTTTTCAACACTTGCTATTAAATTAAAAAAAACGCATAAAAAACCAAAAAATAAATAAATCCGTAAAATTTAGCTCACCAGCGAAGCTATTTAACATTTCAGAGATAAACGCGTCCGAAACACCCATTTTCTTCGTAAGATAACGAGAAGTACTTTGGAAACGCAATTGTGGCAACGATTTACTTTGCTTCAAATAGCTATGTACCACCCATGGAATTTTAGATTCGATCGGCCCAATGATCACGGCATTTTAAGCTTAACTTGGAAGCAAGTGCAGTATTGATATCCATTTTACATCCATTTTATTTTTTATTTTTATGAAGTGACACAAATGGCAGGTTTGCGGAAGGTTTTTAAAATGCGAAGATTATGTAATAACGCAAATGCTTAGGTTCAACTTTAATTTCAGACAACTTAAATTTTAGTTTAATTAGAGTGATGGCCTAGTGGTTAAGATGGTGCTGTTTTACAGTGAGCCAGAAAATGCGAACACAGGCAGATTTGGCATAAAGTGTTTAAGAGAAGTTAAGAAGAAGTGAGAACGAGAAGACGATCGTAGACCAGGACGTCTAGGTTATATCTGGTAAAAAGTAATTAAGATTGAGACTTGTACATTAAAGTGCAAATTTTAAAAACTATTCTATATTTAGTCAATGTAAAAAAAAACAAAATATGAAGATATAGAAGAAAAGATAGGGGCTCGAACAACTGGACGAGTAGCAAAAGTAAAAGTATTCAGAAAGCCTAGGATATATTTTTCTGCCGAGTTCACTGAATCGTTTTTAAATTGTTCAACAAGTTATAAGCTTTACTTAGAGGATAGTGTGTAGAATAAGGAAGACCTTAGTAGAGCGATTTACAATAACCAATCCTAGATAACTCTAATGGAATACTTTACTCAAACATCATGGTATCACCAAATAAAAGTATTTTCAATATTAATATTGTTTATTTGTTGTATTCTTTTTCTTAAAAACTTTACAATAATGTCACGTTTCTATTATAATTGGTTCCATGAATACTAGGATATTTGGAAATCTTATTATATAAGTCTGGGTAATCGACATTATCTTACAAAATCAAAAACCAAGTGGATCATCAGGTCAAATAACATATTTAAGTTTATATATCATTGAGTGGGTATTGCTTCATTTTATGTTTTCCCATTCTTACTTGGAAGCAAAAGCATCACTGACGTCATGCATTCATTATAATTAGTGCTACAATTTAAATGCAACATCATGATGCAAACGCTTGAAGTCAACGTCTAGGTCGAAGAGTATAGCTCAGTTTCTAATTATAATTCAACGCAAGATGAAAGTAAGATGTTGACTAACCAAAACCATTAAAAAGCATTATTTTTGAATAATTTAAGAGCCCAAAGAGATAAGAGAATGGTTTAAATTTTCAGATATGCTTCTTACAGCTAAAAGCAGTTCACTCATGCAATTTAATTATTTTATTATTCAATTTTAAAAATCAGGAAATTTAATAAAATGTGCGTCAACAAACCTTATTTAAATAAGATTAATAATATTTTTCAAAATAATCCTGCTCTAAGTATAAATACTCCACATAGTGGACTAGCGGAAAAATGTGTCATGTGTCATAAGTCAAATAAATTAATGTTCTTTTTAAACTTATTTCGATCACATAAGGTTTGTGGTTTGAAAATTCGTTAGAATGTTAAAATACAGAACAGAACTTAATTTTGCATTATTTTTATTATTTCGAAAAATGTATTATTTTATTCCATTAGCCAGGTAATTGACAAATCAGCATTGTGAGAGTTTATGCTTGATCAAAATAATGGTCATCTTCACTAACTTCGTCGCTGCTAAATATCATTTTGTCGCATCAGATCATTCTTTCAACAAAAATTAATACAAAAAAATCAAGTTTTATAAGCATGAATTAACATTTAAGAACAGCTTACAAAGCAATCTGTAATAGGCATAAATGGCACAAAAAGATGTTGAACATTTGAAACGTTTTTAATTATTTACAAAACGTTGAAATAGAAAGAAATAGATTATTAAAAACGAAGTAAAGCTATAGATAGTTAACTGATTGAATTCGCCGCATGGTGTGTTTCATATATTAGCATTATATCAAAAGTATTGAAATTAAACGTTAATAATGTTGAATGAATGAATGATGATAAAACGAATGCCATCTGTCGATTCGACCCAACATCAGCTCGTATTAACTAGGTAATATTCATCTTTTAATTGTTTGCCACTTTCTTTTGATGAGTACTTTTTCAGATCGATGTACACAACCCTTTCGAAGAGGAGTTTGATGGCGGTGCTGTAATTGTAATTAGCTTCATCGTTCATTGACTTCAATGTTTTTGCCAGCGATCGATCCACTTCCATGGCTGACTGTTCTCTGGAGGCTTTCAACTGAATTATTGCAGTTGTTTAGAAAGTTATAAAAAATTTAGCTTTTTTTCAAAACTTACCTCTTCTAAAAATTACTTGCAAGTATCGCTAAAATCATTGCCACTATTTTCACACATATTTCATAGAGGTATATAAAAAAATTGATGATCAGTAAGCAAATTTTAAAATAATTCAAAAACCAGGTAATGGTTTTCAATTACGTGTGAAAAAATTTGATTGAAAAAAGGATCACCTAATTGGTTTATATAACTCAAATAAATTTTCACAGCAGAACTTAAAAATAACTAGTTGTTGAACAAACCAAGGTTTAATAAAATATATATATTTTGAGTTTACATTTTATCCTTTATGCGATAAAAAGTTATGCAATTGCAAAAATGATATAAATCTGCGCAATATCCAAATAATTTAATGTAGAATATTGTTGATTGAAAACTGTGTGGTTAGAAACATGTATTAATGATGATTCGAAACATTTCAATGATAAATAAGTAATTGCTAGCAGCTACATATTCCTTTTTTTAACAGGTTTAGTCATGAAAAAAAAAACTTGAAAAGCATACCCGAAAAAGCATAGCTCCGGTTCAAATGGGTACCCCGCGAACAAACAAAACATTGTAATAGAAAACAGAAAAAAGAAAATTTCTCATAAATTCAACGAAATTATAATTAAACAAAGAAAAATCGTAACAAAATTACATGTATACCAATCACGACAAACAATTTAAATAAGATTTTAGTTTAAACTTAAAATCCCCAAAAGTTGAACACGCTCGAACATAATGAATATTGTTGATTGAAAACTGTGTAGCTAGAAACATGTAATAATGATGATTCGAAACAATTCAACAATAAATAAGTAATTGCTAACAGCTGCATATTCCTTGTCATATTTTTCTTTAATTTTTCGTGTTAGTTGCTGAGATTCAAATTTAGCGACGTCTGAAGCTTTTTTTAACAAGTCTCTTTTACCTTTCAATTTGAATTCAATTTATTTTTAATAAAAATTAATGTAAAAACCATACAACTTAAATGTGAAGAATTTTTCATTTTAAAAGATAGTTTAATTATTTATAGGACAAAAAATGTGTACGTACGTTGTCGTGCTTCATTTATTTTCTCCTTTGCTCTTCTTTCTGCTTCCAAGAGTTGAGATATTCCATCGTTGGGGTTTATATGTAAATTATTGTCAGTGGCCGATTTATATTCCGAAATTACCTTCGTTTTTTCTGCTTCTTTTTCTTCGTTTTTCAGTTCTGTCTATGAAATATAAAAATATAGATTAGAATTTAAATGGATAGAGTTATTATTAAATTGGTACGCACTAAAACACCGTTGATGAAATAAACAGTACTAAAAAAACGTTGAAACAACAAGCGATTTGAGCTTCTAATCTTGTACTTGTATGTTAACAAAATGATTAATAATAAGAAAAGGGAAAGGACTTATTTGTAATGTCGTGTTCGTTAAAATGAATGTGTCAATAAAGTTTTATTAAAGGATTAATTAGCCAGCCATTATCGTAAGTTGCATTTGAAAAAATAATGAAGCTACTCGTTTACGTTAGCCAGATTTTTGAAAAAAATTAATTTCCAATTTCAGCAACTAAGTTTAAGACCGGTTCCTAATTTTGGATTAATTATGAATGATACTACATGGTTAAATTATTTATAGACATATACTACACGAATAGTTGATTAGAATGTGAGAAATGTAAAATTATAATTTGTCGGATGAATCAACTCCCAGAACATCATCCTTCCCTCTTACTTCATCCGGTTGTTGCTTTTTCTTCTTTTTACGGAATAAATGTGGCAAGCAAGACATTTAATATTGATAGTTTTCATTTCAGCGATTTACATTTTAGTTTACGTACGTCACATCTTTTTGTTTTGAACATTTCATAGATATAAAAGGTTCCATTGTTTATATTGTAATGTTGAATTGGTTTATTGTTTTAGAAACTGTCCATTAAGGATGTCACACTTTTTTAAACGTTTTTTTACCTCTCCTCCCCCGTGTCACGAATAATAATAATGTCATTTATTAGCGCCCTGTGCATAGCGTCAGAGGCACCCGGATAAACTAATGTCAGCACGGCCACCAAAAGCCTTTTCAAACAGATGCTGCTTCAATTGTTTTTTAAATCGACCAACCCCCGAAAAATAAGCATGTCACAAAACTTCACCCCCCTCCTCTTAGTGAAGAGTCATTAAACAATGTAATTGTTTTATGCATTTTAATTTTATTGATATTAAAATAACGAATGCTTTATCGTAGTTAAAATATAACGAATTAATAGGAAAGATCACAAATTGCTTTCCTCCAAAAGCTTGCCATTTGCTGTGAAACTGAAACCAACTGAATGCACGGGCTTTCTTCTTTTGGTATATTTGGTAACTCTATTTTTGTTTATTTAAAAAAGGAACGTCACACCTGGGTTTACCCCCCTCTTTCTCGCCACTAACCCCCTCCCCCCTTGAAGCCTGACATCCTTTATGAATGGCCGGCGCCTTAGATATTTTTCAGGATTTTTATTTCAATTAAGAATTTCTAATTATTTTGCATGTAGTTTGGGTGTTCAAATATTTTGGACAGATCTTTTGGAAATAGATATTTAATTCTGGTTTGATTCTAGTTTCGGTAATGTAATTAGATGATGGTATATGATCGATTGTAGTTTTAAATGGATCACACTGTGTTACCCATTATAATTCAGTTTAATCTAATTTAAAAATTTCTATTGAAGTTAGAATAAGTTCCTATTTTTAATTAATTGTTAATCTCAAAGAATTGAAAAAGGCAAGTTAATTATTTTTGACTGAGCGTTTTGTTGTTAATTTTAAAAATATCTAACACAAAACACGAACAAAACTTTTTTGTAAGAATACTGCTTTTTTTCTTTTTTTGAATTTTCTTTCCGACTACTCTTGTGAATTAAGAGGTGACATCACATAAACATTTATTTTTATTCATCCTTAATTTTATTGTTTATTAAATCAGTTAAATATTTACCTGTTCCTAAATTGTTGTTCCTAAAATAAAAAAATTGTTATGCTATGAATAAAACATTATTTGGAAATAATCAATGTCTATTACGTCTATTCGACAAATGTTTCGAATCGAATCTTACTGTTTTATGTTACCTAAATGGGTCGAAGTAGCAATAGCCCAACGCTGAACAAAGTTTATTACAAGTTATTACCTTCACAATTTTCAGTGCGTTTAATAATCATATCCTCTGTATATAACTTTTTATAATGATATGTGAGTGTGTAAATTCAAAAGTTATATGGTCACCATGTTTTAAGATACAAAAGCAGGTTGTAAGACCATATAAAAATAGTCAATATTCAATTTCACGAATGGACATAACATTGTATAATTTGTTCCCATTAAAAAAATCTTTAACTTTTTTATTAAGCTTTGCCAATAATTTGAAATTAGCATTTTTTAGCGTTGAAAGCATTTTTTGTCAAAGCATACACCTCATCTGCAGATCCTTGGGCGTTTATTTTGCATAACTTTTTCTTCTTAGTGAAATGATCGAGAATAGATTTGTTGTTGGTTTGGAAGGTAGCGATCCTACTGGCAATGCTGGTTTCATTGTCGTCGGATCTTCCACTTGTGGCAGCCCTGCCCAGCAATCTTGCCTTCATAGTTTCATCTGAAACTTCAAAAAAGAACACTCTTAGCACGTTGCCTGCTTCTTTTTCAAATGCGATGGCTTGAGCTAGTTCTCTTGGATATCCGTCGATCAGAAATCCTTTCGACTTTGGGGCTTCTTGTATCAGATGTTTTTTTAGAATAAGTAGAGTGACATCGTTCGGAACTAACTGTCCACTGGCAACTAAATCCTTCACGCGACCTCCAACTTCTGATCCTGATTCGATTTCTTTTCTCATCAGATCGCCCGTCGAGACGTGGGTCAGTTGAAATTCCTCGGCCAACTTTTGACACTGAGTCCCTTTTCCACTTCCAGGTCCTCCTATCACAAAGTAAATCTTACTCTTCTTTAGTTCTTTGGCCATTTTGATAGATTATATTTTTTGCTATTTTTAATCAATACAAAAATACAAAAAAAAATACAAAAAGAATACAAAAAAATGTCTTTTCAATTTTTTTGTTGCTTTTAATTTTAATATTTTCTACGTTTTTCAATTACGTCAGCATAAAAATGAAAATGTTTAGCGCTTCTCAGCAAAAACGTCAAATTTTTTAAAGTATATTTTAGGTATACATTTTAGGTAATTTAACTTTTTTAAATTTGTCCGACTAATAAAGAGGGCGCTATTGTTAAATGGTCGTTTCAATTTTATTCTCTTTAAGCAAAAGTACAAAGATATATTTCAACTTTACTCATAAAAATTTAATGACAATCATGTCATTGGGTTTCTATATATTTTCAAATAAATTTTTTAATTGTAAATTTTAAATATAAATTTCTACTTTAAGATTATCAAAGTATTATTTAATAATAAAATCAGTTACGATTTAAATAGCGTTGCATTCGTTAGCAGGTTATCCGTTGGTTGGCCTGCTGTGTGGGATTTTCCCGCCAGTGACCTACAACCATAAATGGAAACAAAAATATTCAATTGAAATTATTAATGATTTAAATGCTGGTATTTCAATAAACCATGCCATATTTGATAGACTGAAAAAGTCTGAATTATTAAATGTTCACCATGTTATCAGGCATCCATAAATTTTCAGCTAATCGTTTCTTCACGGTAGCTGGCATGGTGTATACGGCATCTGGGCAGTGTCTCTGGAGACACCTGAGGTACCTTGGTTTGTAGATGAAGTTCTGATAGCCCTTCGTACACCAAACCTGGATGCACACTCTTGTCCGGTCTATCCAAAATCGTCGCTTCAACACTGTCGGCCTATCAGGGGAGTATCTGTTTGCAAATTTATTTTATTTGAAAAACTTGGCGTTCAATTGAATAAATTCAAAATTAAACTTTGTCTTAATGAAATTTTAAATGTATCACAAATTTTACTACAAAATCTTTCAGAAATTTTCATAGAATAATTTATCATAATTTTTTTCAAATTATTCGTTTCATAAATATTTTTAACGTTTTTGGTATTGCAAACATATCTATTAGATTGAACTTATTGTACATTTTAAATCCAATGTTGTCAATCATTTTATAAAAGAAAAGTTTGGAATTGAAAAAATTAAATTTTTTATGGCGTTTAATAGTCGGTCCTCTGTGATTGTTGATACCTTACAGAAAAGCAATCTGTCGCGACGATTCGACGCGGTTGCATACAAAGAAGATCATAATTTTTATAATATTTTCAGTGATGGAATAATGTTGTTTTAAGTATGAACTGGACGTGATGTGATGCGATGTGATGATGTGGACAGTCATTATATGACAAGCACAACGTTACTGTCATCAGGGCAATTTACATATGCTATCTGCTCATCCGCCTGGATAGAACACTCGGAAAAATATATCATCTTATTCCTTGTTGGTTCACAATGCATAAATTAGCATTATTTCAACTAATGTTATTATTTGATAATGATCTTTACATATATTTAATTCAATTTAATATGCGAGTGCTCAAAGTTTGAAAAAAAACCTCTCAAAATGAAAAAAAATAAGTGCAAGGAATAGACTATTTACTATATTAAAGGCATTGAATTATGGACAAAAATCAGTTGCACTAATAGCGCAAGACTATAAGAGCAAGTTTGTCCCGCAACGACGATTTAGGAGCCCTTGCTTACAAGTGACCTCTATGATCGTGAACTCTTAACTTTCGACTAATTAGAGAGAAGTTTCAAACATGTTGAACTTGTGAAGGACTAAAATTTGTGCCACAATTGTTCAGTATTATTTATTGTGTAGTAGCCGTGCTTATGCTATTTTAAATTTCGTTCAATTTTTAATATTTTAACATTTAACTTTCCCAACAACAGCCCTCTGAGAAACATAAAAAACGATTATTTAATGAAAATTGCAGATGAAACTAAATTTCAAATTCAGGTCAGAAAAGGCTCCTTATAAAAACTCTGCTTTTTCTTAGGCCATTGTGCTTTGCTGATACGTATTTATTACGTGGTGAAAACGTCGATCATAGCGTAAATTAATTTCGATTATTCTAACAAAAGGTTTTTACTTATTTATAGTAAATATTTTATGTTAATATATAATTTATAAAGTTTTAATTTTTTTTAAATAAAAAAATCTTTCAATTTTTGAATTGTTCGAATTTGAATAATTTCATATTAAAATAAAACAACGTTAAAAATAAACAGCTAATTATCCAAAAAGAAAAAGGATAAATCAAACTGCCACTCAAGTTTAAATCGGAAATAAAATATCAAATTAAAAATTTAATCGAAACGAAAGATAGGATGGGACTAACGTGTCGTTTATATTTCCATTCTCGATAGCATCTGTAGCATTAAAAATTTATAATTAATAGAAAGATCTCCAGATTGTTTTATTAATATAAAAGCAAAAATTCAATTTTATATAATTTATTATTGATTTAAAATAGCCGTTTAATTCAGCTTTATAACTTGAAATTCTAGAAGAAAAAATATATTTAATTATATTCAGAAAGAAAGTGTTAGAATCAAAATTAATTGAAATGTTTAAAAATTTGATGCAAATATTTCATTAGAGAGTCAAGTTTGTGCATATTTTCCTTCGTTTACTTCGCCCTCTTTATGTTTGGTTGCTGCTCGGACATGTTATGCCCACCAGAGAATATATAGACGTCGCCGTGAATAAATTTACTACAATTGTTTTGTAATATGTGGGAGGTAGTAGATATATTATTAAAACATAGTGTCTAAAAACGTAAATAACTTTTTTTTCACAAAAGTTGAAAAATAGTGTTCGGTGAATTAAATTTAACTTAAATAACTCAGTGGATTGCACGCTCGCCAAAATAGGATGACATTTGAACAATTATGTAACTGATTTAAATAGACTCGGATCGATCCAATTGAAAAAACGTTACGTAGAAAAACTGACTTTTCCACACTTCAGAAATGTTTTGTGTGAATGTTTGGATGTTTTAAAAAATGTTTACTATTTTAGTTTTGCTTTTATTCAATTTTTTTCTACAGCTTTCAAGTCGAAAATAGTGATTTTATTTGCAAAATGTAATTGTTTTATAGGAGGAATCATTTTTAAATTTAAATTTACATAAAGATTTTGTTGAATTTCAAATTAACAATAAAAATTTATTGAAAAATTGTGTTAAGTCAAGAAAAATGTGATGAAAATTTTATCATAATAAAGAACAATTTGGCAGGCGAACCGTCAATAAAAATCGCCTTCATCCCAATTTGAAAAGTAGCTATCAAGAGAAAACCATACGCACATGCATCTAAGTGCTGAAGTTTTTAGTTTTTGTAAAATTGTTTTTGTTGATTCAATTGTGAATTTTTTATATGTATTTAAAACATTTTTGTTGATATAATTTTTGGCTTTTATAGAAATATTTAGTAAAACTGGACAGAAAAAACATTAACAGGAAACAAGTGATTTTTTAAATTAACGATTACTAAGAAACACATTGTTTCCAACATGGCAAAAATGTTATACAAAAAGCTAACAGAATTTTATTTAATTAGTTCAAAATTAATTTACTCTGAAATATTTTCAAACATCAAATTTAAATTATTTCAAAAGTTTATGTATCGTTTTGCGTCCTATCAATTTTAACAATTTTTAAATTAAATTCCAACTGTCACAAAACCCTTTTCAATTTTGACATACGTAATGAATTAATTAAACTAGGAGGACACAAAAATGATTGATAGATAAGCTGTCTGTTGTCAATTTTGAATGTTAAAATGCGGATTGCTAATTTTTTAAATGTTATCGTCATTGTTGTGAAAATAATGTTGTCGATTTCAGTATGTAGTATTTCAAACTGTAAAATATTATTTCTGGTGATACGTACCTGTTTTCTTCAGCAATATATGGCTGAGTAGTACTAAAAAAATTAGCCTAAACATTCTCAATGTCTTTATCACTATCTAATATAACAACACAATGACGTTTCGTTAACAATTATATAGGCATACAGTTGAAAGATTTTTGTTACTGGTTCAATAAATAATTTTTGACTTTCTATATATTTTTCAGTTTTTTTAACACTTGTCAAATTTGATTATTTAAAAATTTGAAAAAATTAAAAAAAATTAAATAAAAATAGAAAATATTTAAATTAAAATATCGATTTTTTTTTATCTTAAAATTGACTAATTTGAAAGTTCTAACAAAGAAAGTTAATGAAAATCCATCGTAAACAACGAAATAAATAGACCGCTGTTATTTCAGTCCTGCTTATAACTTCGCTTATAAACAGATAGAGAATACATAAAGATATGCCAACGAACAATGCGGCCTTACATAATCTATACAAGTTATCATTCAATGTTAGAATATCAGAGTATCAGTTAAGAAGTATATATACAATCGATTTCAACAAAAAAAAATTATTTCTATCCTATTTCCGACCTGCAATTAATAAACAATAAACGTATAATGAATAATGGCAACGCCGACTGATTGAATGCTTTGAAACGTTTTATATCATTTGATTAGTTTTAATTGAAATTTTCAATGGATGAATCCTCGTGTCTTAAGATTTTTAACATTTTGCGCTGACAAAATAAATTCTGTAAGACAGAAAAACAACCCAGAAACAATTCTTAAGGTTTTATTATTAACAGCCCTTTTGAGACAATTTGCTATTCATTTCATTTTTTATACCAGATTTATTTTTAGTAGGTATGTTTATGGTTAAACAATTGTGTGTATGTATTTGTGTGGTTGTGTGTGCGTGCACAACGACAATGATGATTATGGTGGTGGTTGTGATGATGATGAATCTTAAAGATGGTGGGCTGCGCCTAGAAGAGATGAATGCATATTTTATAACAATGTTCTGCAGTTCGAAATGAACAAATGTCATCAACAAATTTTTCATTTTGATGGATGTGACAGGAAGCAGTATGGGACAACCACTCGTCAATGATACAAATAATACAAATAATACAAATGTTACAGATGATATACAGGATACAAATGATATACATGATATACAAAGCATACACGATGCAAATGATACATATGTTGAAAACACTACAAGAAGCTGCTGATCTTTTTTTGTGCTAATTCCCGTTTGTAGGAGTGGGTTGTTTTTAAAATTCTCAGCATAATGATCTTTGTATGCTAATTTACTTTTTTATTTTAATTTATTTAATTAAAATTAAATTACCATATTTTACACAGAATGCTCTAAAATTTTCTCTTTCATTGTCTGGTTTGTTTCATATCTCATGTAAAGCTTTTGTGCATTACACAAGTATTGCTATAAGAATTTTCAAAGACCAATTGTTTGTTTGTCTGATTAATTTTTCAACATTAATGACTATTTATTATCTACAATATCTTTTATTTCATAAATCCATGGAATTATAACTGAACCTCTTGTGTTGCATCAAAAAAATACGGCTTACCACCAATCATAATAATGACCATAGTTGACGATTGATAACAATTCGCGGTGAGATTGTTGTCTTTGCAAGGAATCCTTAATTAAAACACCCACATCGCAGCGTATCGCATCATGCCGCTAAATAAACATCAGTTCTACGTCTTGCCTAACATAATGATTGTAGTTAGTGAACGTTGTGTTGTATTATTACACACAGTCTGCTGTCACATTCTAAATCATATTGTTGAAAGGGAATTTAAAGGCTGGTGAATATTTTATTCAGTATTCCATCCATTCAAATCGTTTGCAACTGGGGACTTTTAAGAAGTCACAGAATATTGTGGAAGTTGCTTTATGAAAATTGCTGTTAAGCCTGCATAGCGTAACCAACCATATTTCACGGAAGCATTTTAATATGTATTAAAAAATCAAACAAATTACATTGATACATTAAATCGACTTATCGTTCATAAATTTTGAATTGACAAATGCAAGCAACAAAATCAGAAAACAGGAAAAATAAGTTTGAAACATTTTCAATTACACTTCTTCAAAATAATTTTAGTTAATTTCTTAATTTCATTGTTGCAACTTATGTAATGAACACAACACGAAGATATTATGAAATGAGTTTTTAATTGCTGACGTGTGAGGAATATAAGGAAATGGATTGGATTATTAACTTGTAGTATCAATATGTAAAACGGTTCGGCAGCAGTATCCAAATGCGCGTTAAATATTGTTCAGAAAGGAAACATTTGAAATTATCGTTAGGTAACTTCGCAACTAGCACAACATTTAGAGTAGAAGTGAAGCAAATAAGTTGGTTGTCCAGTTAATCAATGTGCCTAATCCAATAAAAGGTTCCGTGAGAAACTTATCGGTCCACTCGGCTACATGTAGGCAGGTACTCGAATTTGAATGCAGGCTTCCTCATAAATTATGCAGAATTTGGAAGCAGCTTCACGTCAGTGGGAAGTTTATTTTTATTTTCAAAAATAGAACATGCGCTCTTGTCGTTACTTTTCTACGATTGATTCGAAATGTCTCACTTGGTTAAAACTGTTAAAAAGTTGAAAAAATTAAACAGTTGAATTTGCAGCAACCTTTCAAAAAAATTTTTTGTTTTAATTATGATTTTTTATTTCCCTTTTACTGTTTAAAAAATTAAAAATTGCAGTTTTAATCACTCAATAATTTATAAATGAAAACCACCGTAAATAAACCAGCACATTTTATTTCCATTTATTCCACCAACCTTCCCTTTTCCACAACTTTATTTTCCATTTATCTTTCCGCCAATTTGCTAAACCTGCGCATACGTTTTGACGTGCCCTGTTGAAATATATATCAATAAGATCGATATATAAAGATCTATATGTACAGCTTATTAAAAAACAAAAACTGATGACGATTGATGTTACTAAATACAAAAAAGTTGGTCCCCCAATGCAAGATACTCCCTGCCTATCATGCAGGCGTGTTGTGTGTTGTTGATGCACATGCGTATGTGGGTACGTTGTTCGGGGAAATCTGGTTTCAAACACTTTTGACGTTACGGTCGGGGCGCTATATAAATAACATATTGCTGTTATGCTTTAGGTAATATATTTTGTTTCAGAATTTTGTTTTTTAACCGTTACGAACGTTTTACAATAACTGTGAAAGCAAACTTGTGTCGTAATGCAGGGATTGGTGCTGGCGTAAAAAGCTGAGCCATAAAATATTATATTCCGTGTGCTGACTTAAAAATCATTGTCACGAGATCGTACGCAAGTACTTCATTTCTGCCCCACACTATCTACAAAATGTCACTAATGTTAAAAGTTATCACAATGTATCAGCTATAGTTGAGAAACTCCTGATTATAATTTTTTTAAATTTTCAATAAACCTCACCAGTTCTGTTGTCTATTCATCTTTATTGCAGCAAAATAGGTAATTCATGTTAAACTATAATATATCGTCAAGCATGACACATATTTCGTACTAACTCTTGCGTTGCTCTTTAATTGGAATTCAAATTAATTTCACCCAATCACTTTACAACGTTGAACGTTTATAAAATATTTTCTTGGTTGTTAACTTTGTGTAAATAACGACATAAATCATTTTCAGTTATCTGTCAATTTATTATCATCATTTTATTGCTCAGAACTTAAGATCTTTTATTGACAAACACTTGAATTCATTGCAATTAATGAATATACATTAAAATGACGTTATTACGTAGAATATGCATATAAGAGAATTGTTTACCAATGAAATAAATTGTTTTAAAAGATTGGTAAGGTAACTAACAAGAAAAAATTGTATCAGATCAGATCAGAAAGAAGCAGCATATTTGAGGTGTCTGAACAACATGAAGTTGATTGCGTGCAGTCTGGTATTATTCGTCTGGTCCATATGGAATCGTCACGGTAAAAAACTGATTTGATTTATTATAGTTACTTTTCACTTTTCTTCATTTCAATTTCACAATCATTAATTTATTCAATTATCTGTTTTGTAATTTATTATCAAAATGATTCATTTTTTGTTTATCCAAACCAAACACAATTTCAGCAATTTCCAAGCCAGTGATTGGAGCTTTGGGAAGCAACGAAGCTTTCGTGTTAGATGGAGAAGATGTCATACCAGGAGAATTTCCTCATCAACTTTTGCTGGAAAGAAGAAATTTGAACAAGTGGGGCTTGATCTGTGGGGCAGTTCTCATCAGCAATGTGTATGCATTGACTGCAGCTCACTGCGTTGAAAACACGTAAGTTTTGTTATTTAGTAAAAAAATATTACAACGAGACAAATAAGACGTCATTTATCTCATCTTTTCAATATTTACATAACGACATTTCTGTAATGTTCGATAGTGAATTTTTCGAGCTTACATTTTGATAGCCAAGAAAAGAATCATACTATCTGAGTGCATATTACCAGAGATGACGTGATGCAATTAAATATACCCAAGTTCAGATTTTGAACTTGGTCAGCTCGCCTCACGTTTGGTAATAAAATTGTGATTTTGTGGAGGGGATTTTGAATTCAATCGTATAAGCTAAAAATATATTTATAGATTGGTGTTAGATTTATTAATATAACGAAATTGTTTATGACAACTTTTTTAATTGTTTCAACAAAACTTAAACTCGAAATGTTTCAGCGAGGTTAAGAGGCTTCGAGTTGTTGCGGGACTTCACGATGTCACAAACAGAAATGTTTCGCAGCATGTCACTATCCAGTCAATCAAAATGGTAGAAATTGTCTTCTATGTAATCCTGTTTCATTGTTTGTAATCTATCCAATAAAATGATTGATGTCTGATTAAGTAGTTTGAAATCATTTTGTCAATTCTAAAGAAATTGTGTGGTAAATAAATTTTTCCAGCACCCAGATTTCAACGAAGGTCCTGAATTCCTAACAAATGATTTGGCAATACTGACCTTATCCGATGGTTTGATAGTGAATGACTACGTACAACCGATACAATGGATCAGTCAGGAGAACATAACGCTGGATGGTTACTCGTGCACTATCAGTGGCTGGGGCAAAGGTTCGCCACTTTCTATTCATAAATATTTTTCAGTTTAATTTTAAATCAAAGTTTATTTCAATGCCAACACTTTCTATTTTACGAAATAACATTTTCAATTTAATGAGTTGATAACTCGTAGTCTGAACTCCTTAACTTGACGCCCCGCTCTTCTTACCTTAACCAATTAAAAATATTTTTCCAAATTACACACTTTTCCAGTTATTAAAAGATTTTTTTTTAACAAAATATGCTTAAACATGATCTTTTTCGTCAGAACGTGAAAACTTTTATAGACGGTTTTTTTCTGATAAATGCAAAAAAAGAAACTGAATTAAATGAAATTTTTTTTTTAAATGACAGATGAGAGTACAAATCACCCAGAAGTACTTCAGAAGGTTAGTATCAGTCTGATCAGCAACCAGAGATGTGATGACATCCTATCCATATTTTATAACGTCAAAACCTATCCAGGGCATCTATGTGGCTACGAACCCGTGAAAGGGTCTTGTAAGGTTAAATAAATTTGTTCAACTTTGAAAATACTTTTATTGAGTTATTTTTTGAGGCGCAAATTGTGCTTCGTTTCTTGGAATGAATGAATGAATGAATTAACAAATATCAATGTAAATAATTATTTAAGGGAGACAGCGGGGGTCCACTGACCTGTTATTACAAAGAGAAGGCGTACTTGGCTGGGATCACTTCGTGGAATATTATGGGCGATGGAGTCTGCAATGCTACTTTCCCGTCGGTATTTGCAAGAATCAGCTATTTCAACAAGTGGATCGTAGAAAACACGCCTTAGATATTTCATTTTATGAACATTAAATCAAATTAACCACTTCAATGAACGCGTTTACAATATAGAGAATAAGAATTTAGAAATAAAATCGGAGTTTCAGTTCTATTATAAAGTGAAAAGCGTTTAAATTTGTTTTTTTAAATTATTAAAAACCGGCCACCGATCGTTCGGTGAAACCAGCTCAATCGACCAGCTTCAAGAAATTAAGAAAATAATTAATACTTTTTATTTTCACTCATTTAATGTGAAGTTATTTTGTCTTTTGCCTACACAATCGCTTTTAAGAAACCTTTTTAATAGTTATAAAGTCTACTCATGCTTCTCATGGCTTAAATTATTAAGCGCCACACCATTCTATGAATAGAATAATAACATCAAACTCATATTCTGTGTCTTTAATGTTTTTAAAGTAGCGTTAACTTTTAGCTTATTTAGCCCTCGTTGAAAACCGCTCTTTGTTTATATTTTATGTTGCTCGTCGCAGATTAGTTGAGTTTTTAATCAAAGTTTGCTTTTCAATAAAATTGAATGATGGAGATTGAAAATTTCCAAACGATCGTTGCCGATTTGGAAAAGGTGTGTTTTGGTTGATGCATAGCTGGCCTGGCGTGATGTGTTGTGAAATGCCTATGCAATTTGCAATATCAATATGTATCATGAATTGACAGGATGGGGGGTGGTTGGTTTAAATTTAAAATGTGATTTTTTATTCATTTATTTTATAAAATTGTTTATTAGCTTATTAGGTGTTATAACTTATAACATGAGATGTTATGAGGTTCTCAGCTTGATCCGAGGACTTAAAAATTGTTTTTTGAACAAATAAAAATAATTAGTTTTTAATTGTTGTTTATTAGTTTTTTTAGTTTTAATTAAATTTTATTTTATTTAACAACCTGTTATTTTTTAATTTGAACAAGACAGATTTCTGTTTTTACCTCTATGAGTATGTAAATTTATTGGCATATTTATATCAGTTGCATATTTGGAGTAATTAAGTTTATTTATGTACTTCTAAAATCAAATGAAAATTTTTAGTTTCAACTCTGTTTAATAATAATTAATCAGAATTTTAGATAATATTTTTCAAAATTTTGTGATTGATAATGATTTAATAAATATTTTGAAAAAATGAAAATTAAATTGATTGTTGTTTTCAAACTTACAGTATTTTCATATCTTATAATAAATTCATTTGTGCATATTTATAAATTTGAACTTAAGTCTCTCTTTTCTATAGAATCCAATTGTTGGTATGTAAAATTTTATTCAATCTGTAACTATTTTTAATTTCTTTGTTATCATCAATGCCAAATTTATAAATCTTCTTATATCTTATGGAATGGTAAAAATGAAATTCTTTAAAATGGCAAAATATTATAAACAATTTATGACTTCTTTAAATGCGAAAGTCGAGTACATGTTTCATTTAAACTAGCTCACATTATTTATAGAGATCTGTAAATAAATTTTAAATAATTTTTTGTGCTCATAGATTTAATGGCTCTATTAATTATTGGAATTGAATTTTATATGAATTAATGGTTGTTTTCAAAAAATTTATCTTTATTTTTATTTCAGGGTCTGACCAGAAGTTATGATGTATTAGTATCAGTATTGAGGCTGCATAACAACCCAGAATCTACCGACAAATTAGAGGTTTCCACCTATTTTCATTCTTTAATGTTTTCCATAAATGTGATACATCGTCACATGTTGATTTTTTTTCTAGGAAAGGTTTCTGTTGAACCTTTTGAATCAAGTTCATTTCAATGTTGTTCAATTGAATAGAAGGTATTCTGCTCTGGTCTTTGAACTTTTGGTTAGCTAAACATTTTGTGAAATATCTTCAAATAAATATTCTTTTATTTTAAAATGAACTATCTTCAAATGAAAATTTTTTAATTTTCGAATTATTTTCAAATGAAAATTACAAAAATGTTGTTAATCTCAGAAATTGGACTGGCTCTCACTATCAAATGAGTTCCATGTTAAATACACCTCGTTTGCTCTTGACCTTATTTCCGCCCACACAGCTTTCTACATGCATGAGTTCATGAAAACTATCATTCAGAACTTCAAGCCCAGTTAGTGTGATGGACGGTTTCTATTGATAACATGTTTATTAATTTCCAGGGGATATGATATTTTGAAGATGATTCTTTTCAACCAGATTTTGTCTTCTACATTTTTATAGGCACAACTTGTATTGTAGCTATGAATTGTGATTTATTTTATCTATTGTTGATGTTGGATGTAAAAGTCAGTCATTCTGTTGGCATAATCATTTATTTGCAGGGTTTTACATAATACCACACCTTGTATTTGGATACAATTTTTGGTGGCTTCATGACCAGCCATTATTTAGTTATATTTCGTTGATTACACTTTTGTGCACACACACCCATACACCACACACACATGTAAATTAATTTTTCTGAATAAACAAATTAAAATCTAGTCAGATCATATTCACATTCATGAAATTTACTGTAGAATTTAAAATCTGATAGCAGCTCAACCGATCAATGATTACAATTACTTCTCTAAACAAACTTATGTCATGAAATCTGAATGTTATTACATTTTGTGATATAATTAAGCTGCAATCATGTTATTGACATTAGTTTTGTAATGTGTCATTTTTATTTATTTCCATTCAACATTACCACTCATTATTCGACAAACTCCAACAGAACCCAAGTATGAACAAATGGCCTTGCAAGGTAATTTATCTGACGAAGAAATAAATAGAGAAAATTTGATGTTTGAAAAAAATCACGAGCTGTTGGAGATGGTTTTCCAGATTGTACCTAGGTCTGTTGGCAAACTTTTGTAGACGTGTTTTAGCTGAAATAATTTCATTATATTATGGTTCATATGATCGAAAAAATGTTGTCAGAATTAGTAGCGATGTTTCATTTTGGAAAGTAAAAATGTTGAAACTTATTTTTAGGAAATCAGGTTTTTTGTTAACATGCATTGCTGTTTCTTTTGTCAGCTATTTCTTGATTATAGTTTTTAAAAATTTTAAATAATTATTTTCTAGTTCTAAAATGATGAGAAATACTCTAAATATATTGTAATAATTGGATTTTGTAATTTATTTTCCAGTGCATTGATGGTTCTGCCAAGTCTAGTTCCTTATTCGTTTCCTCATTATCGGTTGGCATCTAATCATTGCCAGGTAAATCATTTTTCAAACTTTTCAGTTTCAAGATTTCATTTACTTTGACTGCATGCTGTCTCGTGGCTCATTTCATTTGTGTTAACAATTTACATAAGGTCTGCTTTGTGAGGAACATGTTCAGAATGATGAAATACACTCCTACAATGAAAGTTCTCATTCTGCAGTGGATCTTCAAACACATCATCCAGTTCGACGTTAGTCATTTTGTTTTTGATCAAATGTTTCTTTTTTTTTTCAAAATATTATTTCCAAAGTTTATTTGACTGATTCCACAATCATTCAGGCTGAGGCTTCAAGACAGGAAATATTGGCATCAGAAGACGATGATGATGATGAGGAGGTTGAAGAAATTGAAGATGGAGTGGTACTTGATTATTAACTTTCAATGTTAAATTATAAATGTTTTAACGTTTGCAGTTTATTCTATGAAATAGTTCTATATGATTTTCTACACCAGGTAATGGTTATTTCTGCTATAGATCTTTTTTATACCAGATTAATTGCTTTTATGAAATTTTTCTGAGGCATAGTAACTTGTTCTGCCATCTTGCATAATAATAATTACTACTTATGCTAGATTACATTACAATTGAGTTTCAACAAGATTTCTGTTGAAAATAAGTGATCGGTGGAGATAATGTTTTTTTTTATGTTGATGAACATGGAATTTCTGCAAAAAACAAGTTTTCTAATTTAGAGATTTTTTAAAAATAGTAAATTGACGAAAAAAAATTGAAAACTTTACAAGTGGTTTGAATTTTCGGTTTCACAACATATGCCAGACACACTCATATACACATTTCTTGTATAAAGCTTTATTTTGAAGTAGGGTTAAAAGCAAGCATATCCTCAATTTCTAATCCAATCATTTCTTGAACGCCAACTTAGTTTCCAGTGCCCGTGAAATCCAGCGAGCCGAAGATGAAGTTGGTGGTGGCAGACATAATGGATTGTTTGATGCTTGTCGTCTACCAGTACATCATGGATAGCTGTTATGTTAATGGTATGTTTCAGTTGAGTAATTGTTTTTTAATTTCTATAAACATTTTGATAACGCCTACTAATAATTTTTAAATTTCTTTCAAAATTGTTCATGTTTTTTCTTTTTAAACTGGTAACTTACCGTAAAACTTATAGGCACATTGAATTGGGAAGAAACAAAGAAATTATATTTGGATTTATTAAAATGTTTTGATTCTTTGCTACTGACAACATTTAAGACTTGCCACATTCAGTTCGTCCTCTTCTACATATGCAGCTTCAAATCTGTTAGTTGTTTGGTTTTTGTGCAATGAAGAATTTACATTTTTATTACTTTCTATAGACGTCGAGTAGTTCAACTAAGGAAATGTTACCACATAAATTAATGATTGATTGACGGCTTGAATAATTGATTATTCAGCATTTTTTGTTTGAAGTTTTTTGTATGCTATCTTGGAAAAATGTTTTTATTTAATAATAAGCCATGTTCGTTTTTTAGTTAAGTTAAAGTTTGATACAGTTAAATGAGTTAGTTTGAAGTTAATAAATTTACCATCAAAGTTAGAACATTAGACAAGCAGTTTCTAAAAGTACAAAATGTTTAATTAATTTTATGAACTTTTTAAATATTTGAAACAGGAGATTGCAGAAAACTTTGCTGAGTTTCTCTGGAAGAAAGTAATCAGTCCGAACAATGAGGTCATGTACAGACAGCTGTCTGCCAGCTACCTTGGCAGCTTTCTGTCCAGGGCCAGCTACATATCTGTCGAGTTAGTAGTGTCACTATTTAATTTCTGCTTTTATTAATAATTTCTTTTTTGTTATAGTTATCTACAAAATTCATTAATCTCATTATGGACTGATGTCATCTCTATAAGCAACATCATTATTATGACCATCTTTCAATCGCCATTGCAATCATCGTCATCATCGTCATGCTTAGGACCGTGAAGCAGCAGCTGTTGACGATGGTCGAATGGATACACAGGTACATTGACAACTGCACCGACAACACGAACAAACCTGACGTCCATCGACCTTTCTACTCTGTCTGCCAATCGTTCTTCTACATCATCGTCTTCACGCACAAGAACATCATAGACACACCAAAAGGTGAATTTAATCTGGGTGATTGTGTCGTTTAATTTTTTACTGATTTATTTACATTGTTGGATTTTTTTGTCCCGTGAATTTAATCTGGGTGATTGTGTCGTTTAATTTTTTACTGATTTATTTACATTGTTGGATTTTTTTGTCCCATCATTTTTTTGACCATTAATTTATTAAGGATTATTACATATTTTTGTGTGACGAATTGGTGAAAGTATTCGATTGATTGATTTTATTTCAAAATAAATGAAATTAATTCACAACAACCACTCCTAGGTCAAAAATTCTGCATGTCTCTTCACCTTCAGAAAATATCATCATGTCGACTCAATCCACTCAAATTCTGCCTGCTTTCTGTTGCTGAAACATTTTGCGCTGTCGTCAGGTCAGTTCAGCTTACTTCAACTCGCAGAATACCGTGGTTGACGTGATTTGTCACTGGTGCTATTTATCACATTTGTTTAAATTTATATTTTCCTTGTCGACACATGTATGTTTTGGGAAAAAAATTTACGATTTTTTTTTACCTCACTGCCTGATAGCCTACTGCCAATTATACAAACAGACTGACCATCTCGATTAGTAAAACACTACTACATTGATGTTTCCTAGATTTTATCATTAATAAATTATTAAATTAATCAATTTACCTAATTAAATTTTTCAAAAGTTTAAACTTTTTGCAAACGTGCACGTCATGCAGAAATAACCAAATAGCTTTCTGCGACACTGTCCTCGAGAAAAATCGACGGTTGAAAATGTCCGAGATGTCCAAGAACAGCGACGGAGGATGTAGCAGTAGCGTTGGCACCTCGTCAAACTTCCTCTTGTCGTATTTTCCATTCGATCCATATCTTCTAGTTAGGTCTGGTGAGCTCGTCAAGCCATTATACAAAGAATATGACAACAGTCTTTTAAATGAGTGCACTGTCAATGAAGATGTCATATCTGAGGTTTGTTTTTTGTGTTCCTATCAATATTTTTGAACGGATATGTATGCGATACATGTGTAGGTTGTTATGTATTTGTAATGATTTGAGGTGAATAATTAAATATTTGTTGTTGCTTGTTGCCTTTTTTAAAGAGTTGCCATCATCGAAATTCGCATTGAAATTTAATTTGTATCCTTTGTTTGTAGGAGATGGATTATTTAGAAATTGACCAGCTGCCACCATCGACGACGGTAGCCACGACATTAGCCACATCCCCTGCACGACTCATCCCGACATCGCCACGACGAACGAACAACTTTGCATTCTCACCGAAACTCACAGACTACTTCATTTACTGCACTTCGCCTGGTTTTACGCATCAAACATCAAGCAACTAATTAATTTAACTTTTTAGGGTTATTGTTTATTGGTTTGTAATCTTTGGACCAGTTTATATTGGTGTCATTGTGATCGTTATAGTGATTATGTTAGTTATATAAAACGTTTAGAAACTCTTTTTAATGATGAATTTGTGTTTTGATGCTGAAGTCTATCAAGTTATATTTATTACTGTATGAAAATTAAAGGGATGACCAGAAATTTAAATGCGCTCTATAAGTCTTGACTTAAGAAAAATAGCTATTTCTATTGTAAATAATTACTGTAGCCACAGTTTGTAAATATTTCGGTTGTAACGTGTCACATTTTATTTTTTTTTTAATTTTTTGAATAAAATAAGTTACAGAAAATTAAATCTTGGACACTCTTGTATGGTCAGCCAAATCTGTTAACATCTATCTAGATTGAGTGCTCTCATTGTATTGTAAATCTTCATTTTATGCCACTAAACCGCTGAACAAAGTACTCTAACTCTAAATTGTTAGCAATTTGCCTGTTAGTGCCACATTTTCTTATATTTAAACAAATTTTTACCGGTATTTCTCATTTAAACGGTTAATATTTGTCTTTCCGAAATGTTGAAAGAAAACCACCAATGTTTATTTGTAGTATTATTTGTGTTAGTGTAATTAATCATGTATGCCAATTGTATTGTTTATCTACTTTTCAAAGTGTTTCGTGCGTTGTGACGTGAGTTCATCCCATTCGTGCGATTCCGTTGTTTTCGCAAACGCACTTTAAAAACGCATTACGTAATAATTACGAAAACTGCTTCGCAAAAGAGGAGTTGGGTAAAAAAGTAGATAATAATTTGCACAAACTGAAAGACGGACAAATTACAGTGAGCCATGAAGACCGTATGTGAAGAGACTCTTATCGTCCTATATTTCACTGCTCATTTCGCATTCGAAACGCAATCTTCCAGCTATTTTCTTCTGCAAGATTAGTATGAACAACTACTTACGTTTGTAACCACGAGTTTGTCCATGTGTAAATATTTTCCTCGTGTTGTAATTTTGTAAATTTCGAGTGATTTCGGTTCTCTCTAATTTTTCATTTTGTATTCTGTGTCACAAGAAAATAAAGAGGGAAATGCCCGATTAATATTTTTAACGAGCTACTTTTAGCGTCTGGTCATGCAGGTTATGTTAAATATGGCATTCTGCCGAAACAAATAAAATCGTTTGTTGTAGTGGGCCGACGGGAAAGACGCATGAGTAGGTGCTTTGATGACACAAACATTCGTCTTCATTTCGTTTACTCTGCCTTCTTTGTCTTGAATTTAAGGAGCAATTAGCAGCCCACTGTAGAACATCAATGGATTTACGGAGACTGAGATATCGAGGAGTCAACTGCGCACGTCTTGATATTTTTCATTTTTTCCTCATTTTATTGGTGATCATTTCATGAGTACTTCCGCATACAAACAGGTTTCGAATGCTTCACAGCGTTAACGCTGTAAAAGTTCATTATTGGTTTTCTTATATTTTATTGTGCACAAAGTTAAAAAGTCAAAACTATAACGATAGTTCTAGCAATAAAGTTAATCCTTTTTAAAAAAAAAATTTTTTCAAAAGCAAGAAATTTCAAAAGCAAACAAAGTAAAACGCATGCTCGTTGAACGTGAGGACATAAAATTTAAAAGCCACAAAATATTTGCATACTAGAATTCAGTTATAAAAGAAAGAAGAAGGACAACTGCACCTTGTTGAAAAACACAAATCTGGGTGAATAGCTGGCTCGAATTTCTATGCATAATCTCAAGCAGTCGCTGCACATAACTGAGGAATTGTAATCACTTCATCATGTTATTTCCATTTTATGACTAGTTGGCAGCGTTTCATTAAAGGAATATCGTCCATGAATGATGATTGCTCTGAAGATAGAAGCCCATGCATTGCTCGATAAATGAAACATTTATTCAATAAAAATTTAAAGTCCACTCAATATAATTATACGAACTGCAAACGAACAATTCATAAAAACCGGTGTTTTTCTTTATATTCTCGTAAAATAAACATAAAAGTTGGTAAACAGGAAAATTGAGTCAAACTGCTTTTCATTTTAAAACGTAATTTTTGTATTCACGTAATAATGATCAACACCGGCCATTTTATTTTAATTTCCACCCTGCAAAAGATTTTGAACTGAAAACGAACATAGGACATAAAATATTATTCTCTGCAAAGACGAACCGCTGAAGCCACAAAACACAACAGAAACATTCCAAGCATTTCGCGGTGTCATTTTATTACTAATAAAAAATTATTTGCATCGGCTGTTGGACATTTTGAACAAGTCAGGGGGAATTTTGTTCATAGTTGGATAAGAAAAATATTTTTTCGGAATGGTTATTAGGTTACTAGTTTTAAGAATATTTTTGTGCTTCCAACAACGTGCAATAAGGTGTCTGTCCAGAAAACACGTTAAAGCAAACAGGGCAGTCAATATATTTATTTAACAAAAGCACACACATTCCTGATAGGTGGAAAAATAAATTCTATAGAGCGATTGAAGAATGTAGAAAAGGCAGCGTACGGATGGAAATTCAATTGAACCAGCATCTTCTTTCTTAAAACGACGACGTGGTTGTAAAAGCTTTTTCCTGTTATCAATCATTGATCAAATCAATTTTATGACGAAAGAGAATTTTGCCGTTGTCGCCCTCATACTGACTTTCATTTATTTTTTTTGGTGACTTTATTTTATTATCATTTTATTGTTTATAATTTCAATAGCAAATGTAATTGTAATTTCAAATAAATATCAATTTATTTTCCATTTAACAATTAATTAATTAATTAAATAAAAAGTAGGCACATGTTTTAAGCATCATCTTCAACATCGTCAACATCATCAACATCATCAACATCATCAACAACATAATCAACATCGTCAACAACATCATCAACATCATCAACAACATCATCAACATCGTCAACATCATCTACAACATAATCAACATCGTCAACAACATCATCAACATCATCAACAACATCATCAACATCGTCAACATCATCTACAACATCATCAACATCGTCAACATCATTTACAACATCAACATCATCAACATCATCAACATCGTCAACATCGTCAACATCATCAACATCGTCATCATCATCAACATCGTCAACATCATCACATTAAACATACTTGCTTGGTGCAAACATATTCTAGCCTCCAGTTTAACATTAAAGCAAACATTTATTCCCACACAATAATTACTACTCATTCTCAGTTATTAGGGCCGTTTCTATAATCATAACCGTTATCATCATCATCATCATAGTCATCAAGCTACAACACCATCACAATTTCCATCACTTTTTGGCCACAATATAAGGCGAATGTTCCGAATAACATGCATTAGTGTCTGCTATATGACCGGCTACTAGTATGTTACTAAGAGGTGTGTGTCACATGCATGGTATGTATGTGTTACATGCTATGTTTCATGTTATGCACCATTACTATGATGGAATGATTTAGCGACAAAGATGAAAATAACGATGAAAATTATGATTTAAGGACTGTGAAGACAAAAAATGATGATGATGACGACGACAACGATGATGACGACGATTTCGGCGATGAAAAATATTTAAAAAATTGGATTGTGCGGCATAAAAAAATTTACTAATTGGAACTGTTCACAGTTTGTAGTAGACTGTGATATTAAAATGGCAACATATAAAACAATGAACTCAAAATATTTTAATACCCAATCAATAAAAGTGATTCAATTCTTAAAATACAACATAAATCTCTTAAAATTTAGATTAAATCAGAATCACGTCTGAACATTCGGTCATTTTGAACTTGATCATGTATGCTAAACTGAGAAAAAAATATTGCTAGAGTTTTTTTTTCTACCACGATAACAGTCAGCTAAAAAAAGTGATCAAATAAATTCGAAGATGCAGAGTAAATGATCCTTGGCGATATGATGCGAAGTGATGCGACGTCATGTGCCGCCGGTTATTTAGTTCCTGTATGATCCGCAAGATGATGACGTCATGGGATGCCACTATATCTGTCACTATATTTTTCTCTCAATTTAGACAGGATGAAGTCAAAAATGATTATTTTTTCTTTTTTTTATATACACATTAATATGTTTATGTACGTGTGCATGTGCATGCATGTATTGTATACTGTTGTATATACATACAATATAATTTGGTAGCTAAGTTTAATAGTTTTCATTTTTTTATACAACGAATTTTTTTCATTTAACTAATTTAAAATATATATTTATTATATTAAATAACATGATGACAAAAAACTAAACTTTATAAAAAAAATTTTAAAACTCTTCATCACTGAGACATAGCAGCTCAGATTGTGCAATGACTGCCTAAATGAATAAAAATCTGAATAAAAATAAATTAATGAATGAAGGTGCCTTGGAGAGTTTATAGCTAATTTTACACAATTATGCAGGCAGTCAGTCAGTTGTTTTGAATGTTTGCATGGATCGAAATGTGAGCAACAAGGAAGAATGTTTTAGAGGGCCCATGTGTATCGTACGTTTCTCCTCTTCAGACTTCCTTCTCGCAGATTGCACGAGGACGGAGGCGGAGAAGTTTGGTCACTATGCATTTTACGTGTGCTCGTGTGTGAGTTTGTGCGTGTGCCTGTGTATATGTGTGCAAATGCGTCCCTATGTGCGTGCGTGTATATGTGTGTGTTGTGTGTCAGTCTATGTATATGCGTGTGTGTGTGTGTGTGTGTGTGCCTGTGAGTGCATATGCGTCTCATGTGTGTGAATGTGCGTGTGTGTGAGTATATATGTGTGTGAAACTTCTTGCTAGGCCGGTGTGAACTTGTATTAAGATGATTTATTTAATGTTTCCATGTATGCTTGCTTGCGTTTCATTTTTAAGACTGTCGTTATCGCATGAAAATATTTTTCGGGTTGGATGAATAAATAAAGAGTAAGTAAGCAAATCTATAATATGAGTATATAGATAATAATACTATTTGTATTTTATGCCATAATACTACCTTCTTACATTTGTCTGTTTTATTTATGAAAAGTTCAAAATCACATATCGTATCAAGCCTTCCTGTGAGTTCTATTCATTGAGATTCAATATAGCATCATTTCTCAGTAATAAGCTACGTAAAGAGTATTTTATAGAAAAAATGTATAATTTAAATCAAAAAATGGAATTAAACTCATTTAATAGGGCATAAGAATGGCAAAGAAAATGCTGATGACATGACGATTCAGCACAACTCAAAAATTATTACCCAGCATAATTTTATCGAGGACCACCCACGCATTTAATTCGCAATTTTTAAATTTATCAAATTTAGGATTAGCTGAGATTTGTTGGTTTTAATGTCACAGAGTCAAAAAATTTTAAACGCCAGTATTACGTTCAATACCAGATTATTATTGAAAAAGCAGTTAAATATATTAATTTTTGAAATTAGACATGTTTAAAAGAAGAAATAGAGGAATAAATAAAACCGAATAAAACTCTTTACATCATATTATTACTATTTTATGACAAAATAATATACTTTATATATATTTTTATGTCTGCAATAACAAAGCAATAACACAAAGCAATAACACACATGTACGTACGCATACATTTACG